AAAATGAATTAAAGATAAGTGTGGAATGGTTTACCTCAAACCCTTTCCACTCTGTTGTTGGCCGTTTCGCAATCGTATCACATGTAGGCTTCCAAAAAAAATATATATATAAGAAAAAATTGTTTTTATTTTGTTTTTAGTATAATTTAAGTTTAAATAATATGTAGTAAGCTTAATGATTTGCATAATTAATTAAACCTAGAGCACTGGGGTGAAGGCCTAAAATTAGAGTGGAAAGGGTTTAGTGTAGCTTTGGTATTATGACTAGCTGTTTATTTAGTCAAAAATATTTATTGAAAACCTTATATAACTATGGTCAGAGGTGCAACCAATTTCGAACCATCAAAAAGCTACTGGCTTTTCTCATGATTGAACCTTCTGATTATAAGGCAAGCACTATAACCACACAGCTACTCAATGACAAAAGTTATATTTTTTTTAGATAAAGTAATTTAATTTAATTACAAAGTAATGATTTTAATCTAAAACTTATAGTTCTGTTCAAAAAAAAATGTTGACTGTCCATAATCAGTGGACGTACAACTAGTCATAGGAAAGATCATTAGAGATCAGCGGCCAAAAAGAGAGCTGGATCTGGTTTTGTTGTGGACAGGACAAACATTTTTGTATTCCAGTTTCATTGTGGCATAGCCTCTGAATCACTAGTATTAGAATAGTAGGGTTTATTACCTTATGTAGGGTCTTGTAGACTCAATAAAGCCATCAGGGTCTTCAAAACCATGGTAGTTTAACTAAATGAAAAACATCACTTGGCGATAAAGGTTTTTACCAGGTTTTGCACTATTCACAGACCATTTGTCCAGAGATTACAGAAGTCCCCCTATCCCATATCATGGTACCAACTGCTTTTGACTATCCACTGTGATTCCGACCAAGTCTCTAAGTCCCTAGTATTTTTGTTATGTTTGAAATATAATATGTATTCAAGTCTGTTTCAACTACGTATTTCTCTTTGAAATGAGCTTATTGCATTACTGGCCCCGGTTGTATGCCCTTTAGCCCCATGTTATCCTACCTTTTCCGTGTTCCAAACATGCTATTAATTTACCTGCTCCGAAGGATGTGAGGGGTCTTACGTATTTCTGATTTACTTTGGTAAGCATTGGGGCAATGTGCAAATTTTTATAAACATCAAAGATTCCTGATATTGTTTCCAGAAATATTGAGTTCTATTACTTACTCAATACAATGACTTGTATGTGCTGAATAGTATAATAAGCAAGTTCGGTGTGAGATGACCAAGTTATTACTAACTAAAAGTTTTTTTTCTAATCCAGGATGATTTATGAAAGTTCAATGATCAAGGACAGCTAGGGTCCAGTTTAATGTCATTGCAAAGCAAACTGTTCTCAGTTCAGAACTGAACCTTATTTCAGGAGCTGCTTTTTATAGCAACTCAAATTAGCAAAACAAATAAAAATGCTATCAGGAAACATAAACTACACACCAGCTATTAAATGATGATGCTCTTACATTAGGACATCAAGGGGAAGGAAGACAACATTAAAATCCTCATCTTACTTTCCACATAACTTCCATTTTATTAGGGTATTTGTCATTGGTTTGGTTTGAAAGTAAAACTATTTCATCAAACAAAATAGTTTCAGCTTCAGCCTTTAAAAACCTGCATTTAAAAATATATACAGCTTAGCCTAATAACATTTTGATACACACAAAAAATATTTTTATTTATTCAGTATTCAGCACGGTAGTGTTTCCAGTTATTTTCTTCAATCATGGTAGGGAATTTGCCTTTTATTACTGTAACCAATTAGACCCTATTCACAATCAAATATTGTGGTTCACAATATCTATATACAAAGCCAAAGGACCATGAAATATTGAGAAAACCACAAGTCACACTTCAATCAACCGTTTGAAAGAACTTGATGAGAAACTTCCACAAAAAATATTGTAATCAAATTACAAATATTGAATTAGCATCAGCCATTATAATATCTATATTTTATTTAATGGTGTACTTTCTTTCTTGAGTTTCACTTTTGATTCTTATCATAGCTTTTCTATGTTTAAATTACAATTAAGAGTAGTTTTGCATCATAATTAATTAAAAATACATACAAGATCTTCTATATATTAAATAGTCAAGCATGTTTCTTTGAAACCTTTTTTCTCAGCTCGTGTGCATCGTAGGGAAAATCTACACATACTGCTAACAAGATATTTTCCTGTAGATGTCCAAAATCCCTTTATAAATTAAAATAGGCTCAAAAATAAGCACAAAGAATGAATTTAAAATTTTGAAAAAACAGACAGGCCATATGGGTTGCCATGCTGGTGACGAAATAACAACAAAATATAAACAGAAAATCAAAACAAATGGAAGAAATTCCAATCACTTGCATGTTTAATTTACAGCGTGGGTGAAAATAGAGAAGTCTGTACATTTGATATTTTTGGTAGAGTTTTCGACCACTGGCCGACCTCAAGTTTTCATTAAAATAAGCAATAAGTAAGATTGAGCTTCACCTCTAATAACCCATAGTATGAAACTTTTGTGCTTTTTTACAGTAGATGTTAAGACTCACATTATTCTCTTCAGTATTTTCACGTTTGGGGAGCACGGGCAGAGCAACTGGTATAAATGTATTACTTACAAATGCAGTAAAAATTAATTGTTTTATTTATTTACTGGATGTCATATATTATTTATATATTATTAATTGATAAACAAATTATATTACACATAATACGTGAAACCCTGATAACTTAAAATAAAGGGCTCAAAACCAGTTTATTTTTTTTTATTATTAATAAATTATAGGAATTTAAAATGCTAAATTAGTCCAAGCAAACTAAACAAACTTACATAGGGATCGTTAAAAAAATTGCAAGAAAACGTTTTATGGTTTTATTTTGTAGAGTTGGGTTTGCAGAATGACATACTAAAAGTTGCCGAAAATCGGTGCACGAGAAATCCACTAAAATCACAATTTAAAATGGCGGCTTTTTCCAACATTGGACAAATTAAAAAAACATATTTCACATGCATTTGTTATGCACATTTTTCGAGATATTGACTTGGGACCACCACCTGTATTTATTGGGTGGTTAGTACTTAATTTTGATAGGGAACATGTTTTTGGCCGACATCTTGGATCCGCCATATTGGACATTGATAATTTTTTTTCAATGTAATGATAGTGTTGTGACACATCATTACCAACTACATTTTTACACTGATTTCAATGCCGAAATCCGTTTTTAAATATCTTTATTCATTTAGAAGATATATTCAAACGAAAACTCTCCACCATACATTTCTTATGGACGTTTCGTAGTAACGTAGTTGATAATTGTTTTAAAATTATTTTTCTTATATCTCCAGTTCTTATTGACGCTTGTAGTTCGTTCTAGGCTTAAAATATTCAGTAATGTAAGGGCTTTCATTTGAGCTCTTGATCATTAAAATCAGACGAGTTAAAGACCAGCTACGAACCTCAGAACAATATTAAATATAAATTTTTAGACATATATTTTTATTAAAAGATTTATAACTCGGGTTGTTAATACGTCACCAAGTTCTTTCTGGTCTCAAATTACTCAGCGAATGTTTAGCTTTGATTTTATTAATCACTAAACAACATCTGACAATTTTAAAATGAGCCATGGTTCTTAATTTAACATTAAAATGTATTTGTTTTGAAATTTGTCTTTAGTTAAGGACATAATATCCCAAACCCTAATAACTCCCGGAAAGTAATCCATCGCTATATAAAGACAAATTTCAATATAAATACATTTTAATGTTAAATTATGGCCCATGACTCATTTTAAAATTGTCAGATTTTGTTTAATGATCAATAAAATTAAAGCCAAACATTTACTGAGTAATTAGAGCCCAGAAATAACTTTGTGACGTATTAAAAACCCGAGTTATAAATCTTTTAATAAAAATATATTTCTAAAAAGTTAAATTTAATATTGTTCTGAGGTTCGTAGCTGGTCTTTAACTCGTCTGATTTTAATGATCAAGAGCTCAAATGAAAGCCCTTACATTACTGAATATTTTAAGCCTAGAACGAACTACAAGCGTCAATAAGAACTGGAGATATAAGAAAAATAATTTTAAAACAATTATCAACTACGTTACTACGAAACGTCCATAAGAAATGTATGGTGGAGAGTTTTCGTTTGAATATATCTTCTAAATGAATAAAGATATTTAAAAACGGATTTCGGCATTGAAATCATAGTAAAAATGTAGTTGGTAATGATGTATCACAACACTATCATTACATTGAAAAAAAATTATCAATGTCCAATATGGCGGATCCAAGATGGCGGCCAAAAACATGTTCCCTATCAAAATGAAGTACTAACCACCCAATAAATACAGGCGGTGGTCCCAAGTCAATATCTCGAAAAATGTGCATAACAAATGCATGTGAAATATGTTTTATTAATTTGTCCAATGTTGGAAAAAGCCGCCATTTTAAATTCTGATTTTAGGTGTTTTCTCGTGCACCGATTTTTGGCAACTTTTAGTATATCATTTTGCAAACCCAACTCTACAAAATAAAACCATAAAACGTTTTCTTGCAATTTTTTTAAGGTCATATCCTATATTTCTCCGACTAAATCTATAAAAGATATTTTTAACAATATTTTTTATGTTATTTTTATTTGACCTTAAAATCTACAACCGTATTTACAAAAGAATTTCTTAAAATATTCTACAGTTATTTACTGAATTTAATGTATATCACTATATGAGATCAATTTCGTAGTCTGGTCCATTACATTCCAATGGCCAAAATAACAACAATCGCTACGGCAGACAGTTCCAAGTGCCTAGCTTATTCTCAAGTGAAAATTATCCCATTTAGATGAAATTTTGCATACGTGTAAGCCTAAGTCTATTAGACCGAGTTTGTGAACCAGTGCGATGGGACTATGGAAACTGGATTTTAAGAGAGGTTTTAGGGGGTGAAAATAGGTTTTTCAAATATTTGACCTTCAAAACATAAAAACCTTGCAATTTATTTTGGAACTATTTTGTAGAGCTTAAAAACTAATTAATTATTTAGTCTCATCAACCATAATAGTAAGCGAATTCTATGGATAATGGTAACAGTTAATGGTGTATTGGTAGTTAATCGCCCTATTTAAATAGTTTTAAGGGTTAATTACATTTAATAAGGACTTTCTAGGCACACAATGCGCCCAATAACAATAAATAAAAATAAACACAAAATATGGCATTCAAAGGGAAATTCCCACTTTTACTCACTAAATAATATACCCACCAAAGCTCAAAATACCCACTAAGTGGCCGATTCAAAACCCTGCTTCACTGATCAACAACTCGTATGACTTGCTGCTGGTCGTATTTTGGTGATAAAACAATCATCAATAAATATAATGTTGCTTTTGTTAACAACAGTAAGAAAATAAACCACAGTTTTTTTAACTCCCAACAATATTACAAAACCACTGGTTCACTCATAAATAAAAAAAAACTATACATTAAAATATGAGTAATCGGGATTGACTGCATTTGTTAAAGGCCATAAAAAGATTAAAGAAAATAACCTAACTGATATGTATTTACAATTTACATATATACATTTGCGGTGGGGCACACGGGAGGGACGATGGCTAACATAGTGTCAGCGTTCGCCGCTAGAACCGCTAAGTTGAAAAATGTAAATTAAGTTAATTTTATAATTTTTAGTTATACTTTTTAACTAGCCTATAAAATTAAACTGTCATAACCTAACCTAACCAACCAAACTTGCTGATATTATAAAAAATATATAAGATAAAAATGAAATGAATGTTTACTTACAATTTTTAATTATAAAATCAATTTTAAAATTTAGCATTTTAAAATTAAATTGCTATAACCTAACCTAACCAACCAAACTTGCTGATAATATAAAAAAGATATAAGATAAAAATCAAATAAAGCAAAATCTTTGACAAAAAGTTAGTGTCTCCGACGGGTTTCGAGCTCGAGACCTCCTGAACACTAGTCCGATGCGCTATCAACTAAGCCACGAACGCCGCTGGAAACACATAATCTCGTTACGGTAATCGTGTTGCCTCAAGAGAAGACATTAGCCACTATAGATATGATGTCACCACACCTTTAGCCATCGTCCCTCCCGTTTGCCCATTCCTATACATTAGAAGCCATACTACCTTTCATAGTTTTTTTTCTTATTATTTTATGCAATTAGATTTTTAAATCAAGAAACAAATTAAGTTGGACAGTACAAAGAGTTTCTGAGTTTAGTTTCTCAAACATATTAAAAACTAATGGCAGTGTAAAATTAAATTAAAAAGCTATTATTATCAGATACATTGAATAGCCTACTTAAGAAATAGTAAACATTGATAAATAAATTACCACCAATAGCTTATTTCTTTGTCACAATTAATTTTAAATTTACGTATAAACATAGTAGGCCTATGTCAGACAATAAATAAAACAATAAACATAGTATTTTTTATGTTTTGTAGTTTTCCCTAATACAATACTTAGTGTTATACTGATAATTTAAAAAATTGACATTAAAATTTGAATATAATGAAATATAAATATTATTTATATATCTAAACTAGAATTTCATATTTCTTTGCTCATCCTTCAAAAGTACATTTGGATGGTTTGAAAAACATAATTTATATCACAAAAAAATATAAATATAAGAATCAATACATAAAAATACATTAAAACCGTCCTTAGAAAGGTAAGTCCAAATTTCACAAAAATCACTATTTTTATCAGTCTCAAGTTTTATTACAACTATTTCACAAATAGAATTTTCTACATTTTTTGCTTCCACATTTGCAAACCATATTGTAGAGTGTTTTAACATCACCATTTTTCATTACCACACCATTGGTTTGTTCCTTGTGCGTTGAGCTACTGCTGGGACTATTTTTCTTGGCGTGGTGGCTCTCCCTAGACTGATTCAAGTAATCAAATGAGATCTCTTCCCCTTGTTTGATCTCTCTGTTGGCAAACAAGGCCAGCTTGGGGAGGTTGGGGTCGAGGCAATCTATGAATACCGCATACACTGTCATGTTAGGGTCGCAGGAATGGTTGACAAAGTGACTTATGTTTCCATACTTAGCTGCATCCACCGTATACGAATACGAATTGGTGTCATTAAAATCCAAGTCAAACAAATATGTCTGTCCATCCTTGTCATATTCTTTACCTCTCTTCTCGGCTTCTTCAAAGGTGATAACCTCGCCGACATATTCAGATACAAAAGCACCTTTTGGTATCGTCTCCAGAGCTTTCACGCCCCAGCCGCAGCCTGAGCTGGTACGGAAGATTGAAAGTTTGACGGATCGCCCCTTCTGTACTACTCTGTTAAAACACTCCGGGCCACATCGACATCTCTTATTGCATTCGTAGATGGGTGTTCCTTGCGGCACTTTAAGTCTTCCGTCCCTATCGTAAGCAAACGTACTACCGGTGATCGTAGGGCAACACTTTTTTTTAAAAGTTGTACAAGGTTCACAAACACAACCGACAGGAGGTTCTTCAGGGATGTTTACTTTTTCACCAGGCAAATAATGATTTATGTAAATAAAATTAGAAGGAGGTCCTTCTAAGTCAACATTGTTTACAACAGAAATACGTGTACACTTGGATAAAGCAATTATGCAGTTCATTTCTTCTTCCCACTGTTTTAACCGGTCTAACTGGTTTTGTCGTACTTCGTACAAATTCGCTTCTATCATTTCTTTCCTTACCATTTCCTCGACATTGGGATCCCTGACATTTTCTGGCCACCTGGAGACAATTTTCAATCTTTCATTAGTTTTTTCCAGTTCAGGGGGAGGAATTATAATGCCTTTAGGGGTAACATATTCAGGTAGAACTCTTTGTAAATCTTCATGGCTGATATTTGAAATTTTACTTTTTAATCTTACATACTCTTGCTCATTGAAGTCATGTTGACAGATGAAATTGTCCAAGAATGAGAACAAAGCATCACTACAACCTTCCAAATGATCTGAGGGTTCCCATGTGTTGTACTTGCTATCCCAATTCTCCCATTTAACTAAGTAAAAATGTTTTTTTCTCTCTATTTTATGATCCATTATATATTCAACATCATAAACCTGTTCAGCTTCGCTTTCTTCTTGCTTCCGAGGCTTCTTTTTCTTTGGTGCGTCAGCCCCGTCGGTTTTGAGTTTTCTCTTTCGTGATTTTCCCCCATTTTTCTCAGCTGCCTCGGAGTTTTTTCCCATCTCCGTTTCTCTCGAGTCTGTAACGGTAAAATTGGCCATTTGGACATCTTCATCATTTCAAAGAACAAGATTATTTTACAATCACAACATATAATTCATCACAGAACACATTGTCTTGCATACTCTAATCTTGCAGTTTCTAATTGTCTTTTTGATTCTACACAAAAATTGAAGCACACATTTTTTAACAGATTTACACACTCACAGAAGAAATAGTAGATATAAATATATTACATAATTTAAATTTCCAAACAGACACATAAGGTGACAGTCTTTACACTAAAAGCAGAATATATTTAGATAACATTTTATGTAGCCTGAATACTGTCCTAATTGAAAGGACTTAACTTCCTAACTTTGCATACCATGTTTAATACATCCAATTTATAGATTTAGCATTTGTTATCATTACTGTCACAATAAAAACTTTGACACAATCAAACAGATATTGTTAAATAATCAAGTTAAATCTAATTTTAAATAATCTACTAAAAAAAATGTTTTACTACAAAATATAGGCCTACTAGGCCTACCATAATATAACAGTCAGTTACATTTAGAAAGAATCATGATATTCAAATGTTTTTTTTTGTTTTGATCAACCAAAACAAAAAATACTTACAAGGTAAGAAGCTGGAACAAGGCACTTCAAGCCTCTTTGTTAGTTTGCACAAAACACAAAAAATCAGTAACTTTGTGTTTAAGAAATTCACACATTATGCATTAGGCATTCTATTGTTTTTGTTCATTAATTATCTATTATTGTTATTAATTTCATTATTTATTATTATTAACCTAGTCGAAAAACACAAACATTCACTATATCAGCTGTCAAACTATATCTTAATGTAAATTAGTGTATCACCAATGGTAAATAAAATATAAAATAAATAAATAAATAAAATATAAAATGTCGGAAGCTTTTAGCAAGATATGAAATGTAGTAATAACAATAGGATTTTATACACTTTGACTAGGCCTAGGCTTTGTGTATAAAGCCTAGGCATTCTGTGGAATGTTCACATCTGTGTTGGGCAAAGTATAAAATAAAGATATAGCCTAGCCTTTTTTTTTCTTTTTTTCTTTTTTTAGCGAATTTCCCTATAGGGAAGTAGCTATTACCGTAGGTCTCATGGTAAGACTTAGGCCCGGGACCGATTTACTTTTTCATTTTGATGTCCCCAGAGGCCAAAAACACCACTCGTTCAAATTTTTATATATGTATATATATATATATATATATATATATATATATGTGTCCGTGAACACGATAACTTGAGTAATTTTTATCCGATTTTGATGAAATTTGGTTTGAAGGTGTAAGGCGGGATAAACTTGAATGAGTTTGCGATCCAGCATGATCGGACCATGGGAACAGGGTTTTATGGGGGGTTTTATGGGGTAAAAATTGGTTTTTCTCACTTTTGACCCTCAAAACACAAAATTTCCCAATTTTTCTCTAAACCTTCTTAAAGAGCTTAAAAAAACAAACAATTCAGTATATCAAAGTGTTTTTGTACGGTTATTGGTTACGGAGAAAACTAAAAAAATGGTAAATTTAAAATTCCCATGTTATTCTTATGGAGAATATTGTAAAATGTTGTAGTTTGCTTGTTTATGGATATCTTTTGATCAAACTTGGCAAATATATTCATTTTATACTAAGCAATAATTATTTTACTTAAAACACACACTTTATTAGTTTCCTTGTAGCAGCAAACCTAGGTACTCGTTAAACCTAATGTTATTTAAATAGATCAATTGAAAATCAATTCAGCCAAATGGAAATTCGCTTAGGCGTCAGGTTTGCTGCGGCGGGGGTATTTTTTCTTTTTACCTCCAATTACTGGTACTTTACAATATTAAATATTGTTAAATATGTTAGTTTATTTGAGATTAGATTGGTAACAAAAGTCTAAATGTCGATTACACAATAGCATATTTTATACTTTACCTGTATAGCCAACTGTCTATAGAATGACTATGCATTATAATGAGCTAATGAGTTTTATTTCATAGGCTACTTCACCTGGTTCATTTTAGGCATTGTATAGAATACCTAGTCATTCTATAGAATGACTGATTAGGGATACTTTGCGGCAACATATCTATTTCAAAAGTCTATAATTACATTACAGGGTGTTTTTCTTCTTTAGCATTTAAGACACTATAACACAGATCATAAAATTCCAATTTTCAAATGTTAATATATTAGAGTTATAATATGTGTGTTTTGCTTATTCCTAGCCTTATCTCAGTTTGGTGTGTGTAATGTTTCCTAACCTTCACTTTTATATTACAACTTGTCATAAAGCCCAAGGATACTCATGCAAAGTAGGGGCCTACTAATTATCTTCAAAAATTTTAACTCTGGTATTCGTCTCTAAATATATTAATATTTTTAATGTACATAAACTAGCTGTTACCATAGATAAAACATACTCCCTTAGTAGATTTCTCATCCTTATGGAACAGCTAAAGACAATTTTATTGTTAGTTCTGTACGGTTTATGTAGAGGTTGTGTTTTGTTTACAATTTGTTTCCCGTTATTACAGCCATTTAAAACCTCGTTTAACCAAATAATATGATCTAATCATAAACAATAACTTGTCCCCTAGTTATATAACCAAACAGTAAAGCACAAATCAAGAAATTAACACTAAAATAATAGAAACAAAGTTTCGTCGACACTAGCGCCTTTGTGTCACGTACATGAACTAGACAAGAAAAACGTGCTTCAAAATTTACAATGGGATGAGAAGTCTACTTGTGTTGGTTAGTCTATGCTGTTACCCACAGGCTTCACCCCATTTGACTTCATAAGTATTAATATACCCCCGCCGCAGCAAACCTGCAGACTAAGCGAATTTCCATTTGACTGATTTTTGGATTTACACTGAAATGTCTACTTAAAAATATAACATTTATTCCCAATTTAAATAGAATTAGTTTAACAAGTACTTAGGTTTGCTGCATCAGGGAGGGTAAAATTGTTTTTTTTTTGAAAAATGTTAATAGTTAGTAAGAAATAAAAAAATTTTCCAAATTTGATCAAAATATGTTCATAAACAAGCAAACTACAACAGTTTACTTATTCTCCATAAGAATAACATGGGAATTTTAAATTTACAATTTTTTTGAATTTTCTCCGTAACCGTTAGGCGCATAATAACGCTTCAATATACTAAATTATTTGTTTTTTTAAGCTCTACAAAATGGTTTGGAAATAAATTGCAAAATTTTAAGTTTTTTGGGTCAAAAATGGGAAAAACCTATTTTTACCCCATAAAACCCCTTGTAAACACCTGTTCCCATGGTCCGATCATGCTGGATCGCGAACTCGTTCGAATAAACGTAGGTTTACACGTTTGTACCAAATTTCATCAAAATCGGATCATTTTTGCTTGAGTTATCTTGCTGACGGACACATATATATATATATATATATATAAATATATATATATATATATATATATGAATTTGAACGGATGGTGTTTTTGGCCTCTAGGGACCTCAAAACGAAAAAAAAAATCGGTCCCGCGTCCAGGTCTTACCATGAGTACTACGGTAATAGCTTATTCCCTATATGGGAAATTCGCTAAAAACTATTGATTGTTTAAGTTAAGCTGAAATAAACAAAACAGTATACAGTAATGCAAAGAAATAATCACACCTGATTTTAATAAGGAAATAAATTGAAAGAATAACATTTAAACAAATAAGTACAGCTGAGGTATTTTTAACATTAGGTACCGGTATATGGAAAGTTCGCTTTAGATAGGAATTACGACCTTAAAGGGCAAGTTATAAAATAATGGATAGTTTTGTGCAAGGTTTCTTGTCATGACGAACATTTAAGCATATGGTTTATGTTACTTGTAGTTTTCTCAAAAGTTCATGGGTACTTTGGGATTTATAAATTTAAGAGGCATACTGCTGATATTCAAAGGTTTGATGGAGAAGGGTAAGATTTAATAATATAGGTACATTATCATATCTGCAAGGAACCCTTCCATTCCATTACTTTTGTTAACCTATAGGTTACTCTAAAATAGACTGTATTTACACGTTAACTTTATCAAACCTAACGGACTTTCTAAAAAAAGCTATTTGTGTAAGAATATTTTACTACTAAATCCACAAACGTCTAAAGACCACTGGTAGATTGATGTTAAGAGACCTACAAAAATAAGGTAGGGAAGAAGAAAACTAACATAGCCTACTAGGCCTACCTGGGATATTCTGAGAATGGACAGTAATTAAACAAGCTTTTTTTTAAACAATGTACCTTAGAACTAAACCCAAGATAGGAGATAATCCATTAAACTAAGATTCTAGGTAGTTCTGGCAAATACAGCAACTAATCATAACTCAGCGATGACACTAAAGAACCAGCAGTAACTGGGTTACACTACGTATAAGTCTTGCAGTTTTGTTTGAGTTGTGAGCATGTGAGGCCTACAATTAATTGTTTAAAGCCCCATCTACAATAATTTGTACTAGCCTAGAGTCATTAATGCAGATTTCAAGTTAAATAGCTTAAAATTAATAGATTCTATTACATTAACAGCTACCTGAATAAACTACGGTAGCTAAATTAGAGTTGAGTTCCTAGATTGACCTGCCCAAATCCTCGTCTCAAAGGATCATGTATATTGTATTTTCTAGATTTTAATTATGAAAATCTTTAAAATGGTTTGTTAGTTCATGGAAAAAATCTGAGTCTATATTATTTCTAAATGTATAGTATTTAATTTGGTTTAAATTCAGTTTATAGGTTAATGCAATGTTTTAACCTTAAAAAAAAAAAAAATTATTTTCTTTAGTTAGTTATTTTAGTTTCTTTAGTCTATATTAAATTACTTAAAACTGGCTAGGCTACCTATGTATTTTTTTTGTCCTACCTTACCATCCTAGGGCGCTAGGCTATAGCACTGTTTTTAGACATTACTTCAGGCTAGTCATAAAGGGTTGTGGAATTATCACATGGATTATTTCCTTTGGTGATTGGAGGGATTTTTAACCAGGTCCTCGAGCTCTGAAGTACCACGCTCTATCACTAGACCAGCTCGCTCCTCAAGAAGTAAGATGTTCAATTATAATGTCAAGCTAATAGGAGATGGTATGGGTCAGTTAGCTGGATTATCACTGATATCCCAGGTCTGTAAAAAGGCTATGAGAAACTGGCTTGTAATTAATACTTACCAAGTTTAATTGTAATGTTCCTTTCAAGCTCGTTTTTAAAACGGACAGTTTGAACCCCAGAGACTGCTTTGACGACAGTTGACTTTCCATGAGCCACATGACCAATAGTGCCTAAAAACAAAATTCAACATTACCATCTAAAATTCAGGAAAAGACATATAGGCCTATAACAAACTAGCCTACCTAATGACATAAAAATTACTTATAAATTACTTATAATGAGATAAACTTACTTACCGATCTAATGCTCCAATTTCAATTAATATCTAATTTAAATCCTAATCTTAATTGAATTTTACCAGATATACCTAGGCCTCAACTTGCAGCAAAATTTTAAGTAAACAAACTTTCTAAATTTTAATACAAATAGGACTAAGAACCAAAATTGTGTTTCAACTAAGCCTAAAGAAAATAAAATTAGAACATTAGTTCAACAAACAGTAGTAACGGATGTTAAATTTTTGGGCGGTTGTGGATTACAATTTTAGTTGGTATAAACATATTAGGCCGAACAAAGCTTAAAGGCAAAATGAATTCAGGAATTTATGTCCTAAGTAGATTATCAGTAACTGATTATTCTATGATTTAGCCCCATTAAAAGTAGGGCTAAGGGCGTCGCCTTGGTGGGGGGTAGTGGGGAGCCTCCTCCCCCCCCCCTCGGAATCTGGTAAGAGAAAAGTTGGGAATTTTCTTGCCACGAGTTGGGACAGTTGGGAAGTCAGAGATACAAGAAAAAAATATTTTTAAGCTAAATAAAATTTAAATATTTGCGAAAATCCATCAAAAATTAATTTTTTTGACTTGGACTCAAATAAACTTTATGTTTCTTCAACTTGCATTTAACATTGATTAAACATCTTAGGCTAAACAGTAAACACACCTTATTTTAAGAAATCAATAATCAATTAGCGGTATAGTTTGTTGGAATTTCGTTTGCGAGAAATTTTGTTCCTTATTGGACGTATGTTGGCTATTAGATGTATAAATAAAATAAATAAATAAATACTTTATTGTATTGACAATATAAATTGTACCGTACACAAGGTATCGACAGTACAATTAGGTTTAGTATTTTAAATAAAACTCTTTAAATTTTGATGCATTTTTCATTGTCTTCAATACAGTAGATTGGATTTTCAGTAATGATTTGTTTTAATTTTTTTTGTAGGCCTATAGGCCTACATTCTTTTAATTTTAAGTTTTGAACATTAGTTGGTAGTTTGTTAAATAATTTTCTTCCGTTGTAATAAAGATGTTTTTTATAAAACTTTGTTTGGTAGAAAATAGAAGAAAATATTTGTAATTTTCTCGAAAATCATAACTCTTCTCACATAGGCTAATTCATCATTTTTCCAGAATTTAATTGTAGGCCTAACTAGGCTAATTTTAATGTAGGTAGCGGTACTTATTTTTAACTGAGGAATAAGATCTGACACCATTCATTGTACATATACGTGTACATATTATGAATAAAGACATATTTTATTTGATCAGTGGAATGCTCTCAACACTTAGCCTAAGTGTAGGTGGGCTAAGACTAAATATTTACTGCTACTATGTGGCAAGTTTTGGTACAATTTAGCCAACCATAAAAGTGCGATTGTTTCGTATAGGACAAGCCTCCATGAAAAATTTTAGTTTTGGTAAGATATCCTATTTTAAGTCATAGCTTTTCAAGTTCCCACTCACATGAATATTACCAAGAGATATCACCATTTAAATATAGCATTTAAAAAAATAAGATAGGAGAGAGGTAATTTAAAAGTGGAATGAACTATGGGTGAAGTAGGCCTTTGAAGGCTGATTAGTTACACATCCTAGGTGCATGTTTTAACCCAAATATGAGTGAAGGATGAGTTTAGAATGGTGTATGATGATCTGTGTAGCTTTGTTACTGACTAAGAATAGCTGTTTCATCAGTCAGAATCATTTATTTAAAACATCCATTACCGATTATCAACAGACCGAACTCCCAAAATAGACTAGTGGCTCATGTGAGCCAGGGTGTTTCCAATCCACAGACCGATGGCTCATATGTGAGCCTTACTGAGTTGTAACTATAAACCGATGGCACATAAGAGCCACTGCTCTATTCTATTTTAACGAGTTATAACTTATTATCGGTCTATGCTTTAGACTTGAATTTAACGTGTTGGTCTATGGTAGAGTATGTGGATTGTTCAAGTCACATGGTCTGGGGGAGGGAAATTATAAGCTAAGCTATTTTGCAAGTGGTAGCGTATAGTTGGCAGCCTTGTTTACATTCTGACAAGTTGTTGTCTATAACGGAATTGATGAAACAATCTTTCTTGATTGGTAGGCCTATCACTTATAATTTATTTGGTACTTAAAATCCTACTAATATTGTAAATGAGAAAGTTTGGATGTATGGATGTATGTATGTTTTTGACAAGTAAACGCAAAAAATACTGGTCGGATTGGGCTGAAATTTGGCATGATGAAAGCTCACATGATCCCGATTAACATATAGGCATATTCTTACCTCAAAAATCCTTTCGGGCTCCGCCCCAGTGGCTCTGCAGTTCCCCATGTTAACCTTATGAGTATTCATTTTTAAAGGGAATTAAAGAATTTAGCCAGCTGTTTCAACTAAAAGAGTTGGTTCTATGATATGCAAAAGCATTACAAATTTCCTAAGATTTACCAATAGGGTGCAGCACTATTTTTTTTCATTATTTATAAAAACAGCTAATTTGAACTTAGCAGCAACAAAAAAACTGTGATACGCAATGAGAACTGTCAAAGTAGGATTGTTTACAGTTAGCCTATGTTTATGTTTTTAATTTCATGAATAATTTACGTGATATTTTGCAAATTTTTAATAATCAATCTTTCTCTATTGTGTAGGTGAAGTGGTAGAACATTATGGCTATGGTAGATGTGTAATACTATCATACCGTAAATTTGAGGAAGCAAATTTTCTCAAACCGTGTTTTCTCACATTGCAAATGCAAATATCGAGTATAACTGCAATAAGCATTTTATGTTATTTGCCAACCCTGTACAAAGGACGGGTACTCTGCTAGTAGGCTATATATCTAATTAAGGCCTAATAAAGAGGTTACTTTTAGGTTTAGCCTACTTCAACAAAAATATTGCTTTTAGAAATTTGTCATATTTTATAGTTAAGATTGTTGTTTTCATGAATACAACCTGTATGTATATTTAGGGATTTGTTTTAAGAGGGTTTAATTATCTTAAATGAAAACTACTCTGCAATTACATTTTTTTTATTTACCATTAATTTTCCTCCAAAGGGAAAGAACTGGTAAGTTAGATAGGAACAAGGAAATGTGTATAATAGGCTATGGTAGGAAAATAACCAAACTCACCGATGTTAATTGTGGCTTGTCTGCTGATTACTTCTGGTGATAGCGCAGTTAGCTTAGTAACATCCTGAAAATTAAATTGATTTTAGAAATATTTAATGTATTGCTACGGTAAAGCAACCTGTGGTGCGCAGCGGTATGTGATGACGTTTTAATGTCAGTAGGAATGTTTGGATTGTGTTGGACAGCTAACACAGCAGTTCACTGTCAATCTTTCAGCAAATATGTAGGTATAGACAAGAATAAGTTAAATTGAGGACAAAACAATTTACCGTACTTAATTACTGTTGCACCCTGTTTTTAGTCCTTTACCAGCACTCATCAATTGCAAAAATATAACATTTATAACATAGGCCTAGAGAAAGGTCAAGATTTATCTTTGGTAAATTTGTTAATTTAGGTTTGCAAAGTATGACAGTAGGCCTTAACTTATTCCATCCACAATAATATGAACGTCACTGGGTAATTCTAAGCCAAATCAACCAATTTTACCATTTATTTTAGGCAGGAATTGAGCCAAATCAGAGAGGTCAAGATTCAGACTGTTTGTTGTTGATTTGGGTTGGAACGGCCCCGCTAAGTAGGCCTAAGGACTAGGCCTATAACCTAACTTCCTAACTTTACCTTCCTAATCTAATCTAACTTAACTTCAATCCACGTAATAAGTTAAAGCTCCAAATTCATATATTAAATGCTGACCTGCCACACTCACATGACTAACTTAGGCTAAATAAAATTAAAGCAACCTTAAAATGAAAATTTTTGAAAAAAGTGTTTGCCCCAAAGGTGCCAGAGGAAAATATTGCTTAGGCTAGAACTGTTTAATTGTTCCGATCTTACATTGCTATGAATACCTATGGCAGTAGAGTACTGTAATATGAACGATCTTGTATTCAATGTAAAGAAGAGAAATCAGCTAAACTTTGGTCCTAAGAAAGAGGAGGTGTCCATTTTCCCTGACATGGAAAATGTTGAAGCCACAAAGTATTTAGGTGTGGTACTCGAGACAGCTCGCTGTCTTGGACTGACCATCTTAGCGAACTCTGCAGCAGACCCAACACTGCCATCTTCGCCCTCAGAAAAGTGAAGAGTTGGATTACATATAGGCCTACCGTCTCTCTTTCTGAGAGCCACTTAAGGTACTCTATGACATTCTTCTTTGGGGCGCTGCAAGTCAGGTAAATTTGAAGCGGGTGCTCATAATTCGGAAGAAATCAATTCGTAACATGGTCGGACTTGATACAAGAGATAGCTGTAGCTGTAAAAGAGCTTTCAAATACTTAAACCTCTTAACCGTGCTCATCATTTAAGTTACCTTCTAGAAGTGATTTAGGCCCTAACCTTGCAAACTCAGCAAATTTGAAGAGAAACTAAGTAAAGCCTTCACGCCAACAGCACGAGGAACGCCCCTAGGACTTCAGCCTGCCAGTGTAAGTACAGCACAACTAGGCTTTAGCAAAAGCCCACTTATGCCGGATCAAAGTCGTACAATGACCTAACTTACCAGTGGAAGTGAAGAGGTCACACCTTTATTCTTTCAAGACAATGCACAAGTGGCTGATTGAACAACCATTTTGAGATTTCTAGCTGCCAGGTGCATGTTATGCTATTAAAATTTATTCAGTTAATTGGCTGAGGCAGAAAGCAGACAAAAACAACGGTTGGATACCGTTTTCGCCATCCTTGGTTGACATAGCCTATTGATGCTCATCCCTACCCTCTAGGGATGACTACCAATATTGCTTAACTTACATATGGTAGGCTAACTGGTTATTATTGAAGGTACTTTCCTGTTAGCCAACCAAACTTGCTGTACCATTTAAAAATTCCGTTTGTTAACAGAAAAGGCGAGTGGAGAATATTAAATGGAATTTTTAAATGTTACAGCAAGTTTGGTTAGTTTTGTAAGGTTAGTTTAGAACAGTTTTATTTCAATATTTCTTTAAATTTTTGATTGTCGATTCTGAACAATATTTATTTAACTTATCCTAGTTGTCAGCTGATATGTTTCAATTTGTTAATATCGATATATCGTGAAAAAAATCATCGATAATAATGAATGTTCCCTTTAACAGGAAAGTACCTTATTGAAATTTTAAATTTGGAGCAACACTGGAGTTTCATACCTAGGCCAATGCCTAGACTAGGCTAGCCTATGTTGTGACCAACCAAATTCATTGATGTTAAATAAGAGTTAGGCCCAAGAAAGATAGGCCTAAGTGAGTTTAGATGAACCAGACAAGATGAGTTTTTCTAAATTAAATACTTTCTGTACAATTTAAATTAGAAATTGAAGTTCTGACGGGAGCCCATGCTACACTTGACGTCGCTTCATAGCCTAACACATGTAATTAGATTTCTAACAGCAAAAGACAAAACACTTTGAATGAATACTTACTAGTGTTGCTAAATCTTGTTTTGACAATGCCGAGGAGCTGTTGTGGTCTACAGTAGTCATATTTAAGTAATTTTGTTAAAAATAAAATGCCGACTATCTTCTCTTCCGCCACAACGCTTAAATGGGGAATCGAGGGAAAGAAAAAGAAGGAAAGGAAAATGTTCAACGGATCGCGTCGCGTTTGCTATTCTATTGCTATTTTGCTGATGCAACCGAAAAAACAAGCAATTGCCCTGCCCATTATAATCAGAAAGTTACAGGTGCAACAACGTCCAGTAGTATTAAGAAAAATGTTAAGCAGTGTGTAATCAATGGTAAGATGCACAATATCTTTATAATGGCAGATTAAAAAGATCTTTAATTTTGGTAAAGTATCATGACATATTGCTCTATTTCAAAAACTTTTTGTGAGCAGGAATATTTCTCAAAATAATATGAAAGAGGGGTTCGTTGTACCAATTCATATGGAAGGTGATTTGTTTGACACCAGAAACTATACAGGCTGATCGTTATTCAGCCAGCTCTAGCAAATGTTTTTGAGAGCTTGGTGTGGCTTGGTCCTCGATAGAATGTTCTTTGCATAAGAACACAATAATAACTTAACAGCATGGCTTCAAGTTCATGTCAAACCAATACATAAATATGTCAAATCGTAATATTACTTAAGTTAAATTAAAGGGACATTTTTAAAAGCAATTGACAGATGACTCATGAAATTGAAACTAGTTGCGTGACCTTGCAACTATTTGATTACATAGAAGCAGGCATTTAAACCAATTTACAATTTATACCAAACGAACTATACTTACCAGAGCCAAGGCCTCACTAGAAAAAACTAAAAATATGCCATGCTGCAGCGCGGCCAGCCACGGCCGCCTTTAACTACAGGTGTTAATTAGTACACAGTTAAGTGGTAGAATTGGCAACATCGCAAGTGGTGTTGTTTAGTGACAGACGTCCCATAAGATAATATGGCAGACAGGTGACATCAGCTCATTAATTTGCACTTTACTGATTTAATTTTTAATTTATGAACATAAATTTATTAAAATATTGAAAATAAAACATACATAATTGAAAATTAAAACAATATGAATTAAAATCTATATCTGTACATTTTTAAAGTGGAGTCAATATTGTCATAGTCCAGTAATCAATCTTTCGTAAATACACAAATACCATTAGTTGCTTCCAAAAAAATCAGCTGTTACAACACCACTTGCGACGTTGCCAGTTCGAAGGCCGCGGCCTTTAGTTAAAGGCGGCCGCGTGGGCCAGCGCAACACTACGTCACAGTGGTGGATAGTTGTACTAAAATCTCACCGTATCGTCTTAAGAACTGTAGGCTTTAATACTCTATCTTTAATACACTATCTATATCTAGTAAAAAAATAAACATTTTCATAAACAACCAATTTTGGTGATTTGACGATTTTGGCAGACGACTACTACAGTCTTGGAAAGCTGGAATATGGGAAACGTGGCCCATGGCTATTTAATATTTTCATCAATGATCTGGTAGACGCTGTGGAAACCAATGCTCTATTGTTTGCCGACGATCTAAAAATATTCGCCAAGGAGTGAAAATTTAAAAACGTACGTTTTCATGTCCCTGGCCTTTTACTTCGTAGATACTGGATTTTTAGTTTATTATTATGTGTTTTAATATTTTTTGGGACGGGGGCAACATGTTACACACATTTATTTGGTTTTAAATAGGTTCTAGGTATTTTTTTCGTATTTTTAAAGTCTCGAAATTCACGACCATGACGTGTCTCTAGGGTAAATTTTCCAACTTTCACCCTGTTTTTAGACTAATTATTCATGCCGAAATATATAAAGCCATATTTTTATGTCATCAATCGTTATTAAACTTACAAAAAGGAGCATATTATAATTTTATTGTCCATGCAAACTGACTACCATGACAAAATAAGTCTGTCCCTCGATTTGGCGTCACGACCATTTGGGAAAAATTTTCAACTTTGGAGCACGACAGTGGCAAGCCTGGCGTTGATAGAGTCAGTTGGTTTTAGAGACTAGTTCGGGGTGTACGTCAGGATTGTAGTGCCAGTCGTTTCGAGTTGAAAGGAGGAATTACAAGATTAATAAAGGAAAGATTGTGTTTTTTGTAATTTTGGTGTGTCCATGACCGTAAGTAGTCATTCGATGAAGTAGACATGGTGTTAATTTTTGTTTATAAGATATTTCAATTGCTAGATTAACCTAGAAGTCCACTTTGTATCCTCGAACATGAGGTGCAGGGCTACCGCCAGAACAGCGCCGAATAACACGTAATTTCACGACCAAAGTTTCACGACCATCGCGGGTTTTTTCACGACCAATCCAGGCTTATGGATTATAGTGTGTTTGGTCGTGACAATAACTTTAATATAATTGTAATTTGAACAGTTTAGTTCAATTGAAACACTTATTTTTTTTATAATTAACAGTATAATTGAAGGATTGTTTAGAAAGATTTAGATTATTTCAGAAAATTCACGACCGTACCGCTTGTCCCTGACCATCACGTTTATGATTTCTATCATAAAAAATTCAAAAATTAAAATATCGTCATATTTCAATGTTTTATACACAAAAGAAGCACACCTCTATACAAACATAACGATTTTTCGGGTCTCAGGTAAGTTTTTTCGGAGTTATACAAACTTAAAAAGATTTTATTGGCTTTTTTTTCAAGTTTTTGAGTTTTTTTTTAATTTTTTCTAGAAAGACTAAATATACCAAAAGCTCAGTGACCTTTTTAATGTATAATGGTCATAAAAGTAAATTAGTTTATAGCAAAACATAGTTATAAAAATAATATTAACTATTTTAAATATTAATTTAAATGTCTGTTATGGTCGTGACAGGATTTTGTGTTTTTCCACTAAAGATGCTCTTAAAAAAAAAATACCAAAGATATTGCGTTACCATGGACATTTTATGAAACTTCAAATGTTAATGAAATAAAAATAATAATAAAAGTTTTGAAAAAAGGGGAAACAAATTTGCAAAGTGCTTTTCCTGAAAACGTACGTTTTTAAATTTTCACTCCAAGATTAACTCAGTAGAAGACTGCCGCATGATGCAAAAAAGCCTGGACGGAATCAGTCGATGGTGCATCAGTAAAAAAATGCAGATTAACCCTGAAAAGTGTTCAAGTATGTCCTTTCATCGCAGCAAGCATCCCCTCTTGACATCTTACTCAATCTCACATGTTGATATCCCAAGAGTTACTGGTTTAAGGATCTGGGTGTTTTCTTCCGTCACGACATGGGCTTCTCCGACCACGTTGATGGGATTTGTAAACAGGGCAAAAAATGTTGGGCTTCATCTCAAGATCTACCCGTGGGATTAACAACCCTGATGCTCTAAGAACGCTGTACTGCGCTATGGTGAGACAGCTTGTGGAGTACGCCAGCCCCGTGTGGCCACCCTATGCTATTGGTGAAAAAGACAGGCTTGAAGCATTGCAGAGACGTTTCATCCGCTTAGTGGGAGTTCGCAATGGCTTTAACTACGCGGTCGTTCCTGTCGATTCTCTCTCTCTCTCTCTTTTTTTAAAGAGGTTGGGGGCCTCTTTTAACCTTGTATTTGCCCGTCCACATAGACTAGTGATCTGTGCGTGGAACGTATTCAGCAAAGCAAGGGGTGAGCCGGTACAGTACAAAGGTGAACTGTAATGATAAAAGTTAGTGGCAGTGACCAGGATCCGAACCCTTAGGGAGTATGTTTAATCTATGTCCGAACCCACGACACTACTGCCTTGGGCCCAAAGTCCGCGACGCTACCGACTGAGCCACCGACTCACACACATAACATACACTCTTCTGAACTGCAGCTTGTATCTCTTGCGGTGCGCCGAGACCTGGCCGACTTCATGCTTCTACTGAAAATAATCAGAGGTCTTCTATTTTGTCCGGACATCCTGTCAAAAATATACTTCAATTAAAGTACCGTCTGGCACTAGGACTAGGGAACTCTTCGTCCGAATAAGACACTGCAACACGTCTTTCGACTTCCCCAGCCCACTAGCTCGTCTTGCCCGGCTTGGAAACCGTGTTGCTCCGGACTGTGACCTGTTCTGTGACACAATTTCTCAGCGTAAACTAGGCTTAATTCCAGACACAGATTTTCACCAGCATTTTGTTCATCTTGTCTCTGATGTATGTAAAATTTGAAAAACTGATTATTTATGTTTGTTCCTGCATCTATCAATGTTGATATTTATTGTAAAATAACTTTACACTGTTTTCTTTGATCTCATTCATGCACTTACTTGTTGCTATCTAACTTTCTATTTATAAATTGTAAATATTTGTATTGTAAATATTTTTCTTACTGTTTATATTGTTACTATTATTGTTATTGCTCACTATTTGTGCAACTATTACTATCTTGTTTCCTGTCATTTCAAAATGTGAATGTTTTTCATTGTAAAGTGGCTATGCCGTTGGGAAATAAATAAATAAATAAAACGTGCCCCTAGTCATCACTATGACGTCAGTTATGGAACGTTCTCTAAGCCTTGCGGGAACTCGACCCATTATATATTATGGCCCATGGCCGATTGGGTACCTTTTTGAAGTACCATCGGCCATAAAATGATCCAGTATTTGACATAAATAATTTAGCTAATAACCATGGCGTTGACTTATGTTAAGCTTGGATGTGAAGCAAAAGATTAAAATCCATGTTTTAGCCCCTATTAACATCAACCGGTACCGCGTGTCCGATATGCCATGGCCGCTTAAAGGTGGCCGTGGATAGGCCCGTTAATATTTTTTGTTAGGTTGGTCTTTTGTTACAGTTTTCTGAAATCCTTTTTCGATTTCGTTTTCATTCTGTTTCTGCTAACGTAACCTCACTGAACCAAGTTGTATTTTTTTTTTGTATATTGTACTGTTTACAAACACGATCACTAAATAATTAAAACGTCTTATTCTTCATTGGAAATGTTTAAATAGTGAGTTATTATATGTGAGTAAGCTTTAGAGAATGATAAAACTTAGTTTAGGCTCGTAAATTATTATTGTACAATGATTTCTGTCACTGACATGTTGCGCAAAAAGTTGGTTAGGACCACGATTACTAGAAAAATACGTAGCCTAGGCTACATTTGATTTTAACAAAATAAAATTCTCTATGGTAAATTAAAAACAAAAGAAACTTATTTTCAAAAAGTAAGTTAACTGGGTAAGTTTCGGGTACAGTTTCTTAACTGGGCCATGCTAATATTGATTGAAACTAGGCCTATCATTCGATTAGTAGGCCTAAACCTACATTCAATTTTTTCATGATCAGTAAGTTTGGTTAGTTAGGTTAGGTTATGACAGTTTCATTTTATAATTGATGTATTTAAAAATATCTATTAGCCCATTAACCAATATTTTCAATTCAATAGTTTCATTTGATATTAGCATAGCTCAGTTAAGAAACTGTAAGTTACCCAAAACTGGGCTATGAAATCTGCGGCAAAATGTCCTGGCATTTTAGCAAATGATTTGCTAGCAAATCTAACAGGCAGATACAGGGTAAGGCCTAACCCCAATTTAAAATAGGCCTACCTTCTATTTAAATTGATGGGAATAGACTTTCTTATTTATTTCCCCTCCTTGTGTTAAGTTAGTTAGTCTTTATTTAGCTCATACTTATGTATGGAGGTTTGGTTCATAAAAAAAACGAGCCTAGGTACGGTTGGATTTTGTTAACTAGAAGCGGTTGTGGATAGACAATCTGTGTGTGAAGCTTAGCAGGGTCATATACCTTCTGAGACGCCTAAAATTGGACACTCCTTCTGAGTTTGTCAGGCTAGCATTTTTTGTTTTTTTCCAGTCCCACATACTCTACGGCACTAGGCTGTGGGGTCACTCACCAAGGGTGTATACAATTCTTCTGTTGCAAAAGCGAGCGCTGAGGGTGCTGTGTGGATCTCATCATCTTGCACACTGCAGGCCTCTATTTAAGGCTTGTCAGATTCTGACTGTATACAATGTAGCCTATTTATATTTCAGTGTCTTGTAGCGATTTAATCAAATGAGCATGTTTATATTCTCAACTCAAAAGTGCACAACTATTCCACTAGAACTTGTGTCAATTTGCATGTATCTAGATGCAGGCTTGACAAAGTAGCCTACTGAAATGTTTTCCTGTTGCAGGTATCAGATTTTATAATAGAATACCAATTCAGGTAAGACCGCTGCCAAGTAAAAAAATTGCTGAAATCATTAAAAACTGGCTTCTAAAAAACCCATTCTATAGCCTAAGTGAGTAAATGAAGCAGATTTCTCACCAATGACGATTGGACTTGAATAAAGTGATTATAGCAGCCTGTTCTTGCATGTCGTGTTTGGTATCAATCTGTTTTACTTATTTTTATATATATTTTATTGTTTTCTGCATGATGTTTGTGCATGTTTTTATTTCATTATTATGGACTGACTATTGTACGTCAAGAGGACCCAAGAGGATTATAATTTGTGACCTAGCCTATCACTTAAATGTTGAATGGCCCAATAAAATTTTGATTTTGTTTTTTTAGGCCTATTGTGGACTACCTTTGTCAATAAACTTTATTGATTGCAGTGTAATCATATACATTTCACAAAAAGATAATATGTTACATGTTTTTTGTCATTTTTAAACCTCTCCCTCCCGGTAATGTAATGAGATACCTATTTTCTTAAACAAGTTTGTGGGGTATGAAATTTTGGTAACATTTTCTCCTGAATTCAAAAAATGGTTTAAATTTGGTTTTGACGTACCTAGAGGCCCTACCCTAATGTTATTAATAAAAAAATACCCCCTAATAATTTTAGAGGGTTTTGACGCTCCTAAAGGCGGCAGTCAGAATCTTGGTAGGTAGGCCTACTGATTTTCTAGACCACTGCAAATCCATCTTTATTTCTGAATCTGTTATAACAGTGTACAGTTTATATATTTACCAATCTCTTCTGTGTACTAAGCAGGAGTCAAGCTCTCTCGAACTCCAAAGTGATAACTTATCCACCCTCACAATACTAGGAGGAAGGTCGACTTGAATGTACCCTATGTTAGATTAAGAAAGGTCTAGCTAGCTATTGTATACAGAGATATAAGTTTTTTACCAAACTCCCTTGTACAGCTCGGAACCTGCCGGAAGCAAAATTCAAAAAGGGGATAGAATCTCTTCTGTTGGCAATCCGTTTTACTCATTCAAAGAGTTTTTTGAAATTTCACCTGGCCAAGTAAGTAATTTTTTTTAGTCAATGAGTGCCAATGTGTGATGATAAATAAGTTTTGTTTTTGTTTTTTAATTCTCTGCTGCAGGCTTAGGCTAAGATTTTGATGTATTAACGTTTTCTTGTACTGTAATGGGGATAACGTATTGGTAAAAGTTATTAATTTGTCAAATATTTCCACAATACAAAATTCTAAATTATATTTGCCTCGGGTAAACCCACAGAGAAGGTTCGACCCATATGGTGACACTACTGATAAGTTTCTTTGTACACTGGCCACAAGTACTGGATAAAGTGGCCAGTTAATTTCCAAGCCAATTTTGTATCCATTGTGTGTTTTTATTAGAGGAAATAAAATTTCATTATTTTCATTTAGGAGTATTAATAGACAATAACAATGAAGAATTAGAAATAATAAGCAGGTTAAATTCAGCTAACAGAGCCCTTTATGCATGTAATTTATGCATGTAAATTGTTAAGCTCAAAATTACTATCCCAACACCAAATTACTTATTTATACAACAATTTTAAGACCGGTTATACTGTATGGATCAGAAATGTGGGTAACAAGCAAAAAGACAGAAAAAAATAATAACATTTGAAAAAAAAGTCCTTAGAAAGATATTTGGCCCGACGCTCGAGGATGGAGGAGAAGACATAACACCGAGATTAGGGAGCGCTACAAAGACCCAGACATCGTAGCGGAAGTCAAAAAGTGGTCGGTTGAGATGGTTTGGGCATAGCCTACTATAAGAAGAGAGAAAAACTCTGCAGTGAGGAACATACTTGATAGAAAACCCGAAGACAGAAGACAACCAGGACGGCCTAAGCTAAGATCAAGTTTAAAAAGATATTAGAAGATTGGGAAGTAGTGAAAATGAAGCTCAAGAAAGAAACACCTGGAGGCAGTGCGTGGGGTACCAGTGGCCACTCCACTCCAGTAAGTAAGTAAGCCAAATTGGATGTATCAAGCAAGTCTTTGTATTCTACAGTTTAAATGTTTTGTAATTATTGATTTTATTGTTTTCAGTTCTTAAAAATTGAAGATCTTTAAGACAAGAGAGAAGTTTTCTCCACGTTTTTGACCATACTCACCATGTATGGAAAAGTTATTGGAAAATCAATTTCAGTAGATTGTTTTGAAGAGGTCACCAAGGTAAATTAAGTATTTTCAATAGGCTATTATAAGTATTAAATAGTCATATTTATTCATCAACTTCTTGTAGAGGGATGAAATCAGCTACGGCCAGTCTGAATAGGCCAATCATTTTAAATGTATTTACAATAGGTAGTTTATTTACCCATATAACACTTAAAAGGCAATGAGGGGACCCGTGCTCAAATTACACATTTTAATTAATCAATTATCGAAAAAGTATTTAAAATCTATGTTTATAAACGGTTTTGTTTCTTGTTTACATTCTGATAATGGTTTAAACACTCAATGAAACAAACAGCTGTTAAACTACAATTCAAATTTTTTTGTAACCTAAAGAAAGTTGCTCAGCATAATAGGCAAATCTTTAAAAGTGGACTTTTTAAATAAATCAAGGGAGCAAAGCCCTAAAGGAAATTACCTTCTTAGTTACCATTTGTCACTCTCTGCTAGTTCATAAGTATATATTTATTTATATACTTATTTTATTTTAATTATATAGATAGATATTTTAATAAAATGATTCGTAGTAGAATATCAAAAGTTTAATGAAAGGTATTTTCCAATCTTTATAATCCAATTTATTACAACGCCTGTGATTTTAAACATGTGACAACAACACACATGTCAAGTAACTGTTATAGTTCGGCCGCTTAGAAAGCAACCTCCTCCAGCATTGGTTTAGCATTAGCGCGCAGGTCGTTTTCTAAGCGGCCGAACTATAAATCTTATAGGCTTACTTTGATAAACAGCTCAACATTTGGGTTTTGCCATTGTGGCCCTTTACCTTTGTATGTAGTCTACATTATGACACCACATTACACTTTGTGGATTGCGTTTTGGTGGGTAGGTTTCTCACAGGAAGACCATGAAGAAAAAAAGGGTTTCACAGCATTTTTACTTTCCATAACACTTTTTTTGCACTTTACCCTCATTCATAGTATAAGGGCCATGACCTACAGTCATCGTATGTGTCTCTTGATAAAAAAATGTCACTGACCTTATCTCACACGGAAAATTAAATAATTTGAAATATTCAAAAAGAAACAGCGAAGCATACACTTCAGCTACAGGGCTGCAAATGGTGTCATTCTGTTCACAAACTATCCCAGTAAGGGACAAGAAGCCTCCGTACAAGTAAACAAACTTTGGTGCTGTACGCAAAAACCGACCTTACTTAAAAAATGGCCCTCGCAGATATTGAATTGTTTATTTGCAGCCTGCAATATTGTAACTTTCAATTATTGTTTTCAGAATGGAATCTACTTCTTGACCTCTGGTCATCTCAATTCTCCATTACCACCACATGTTGACAGAGTGTACACTTCCACCCATAATGCTTGGTTATTACAGACAAAGTGCAAGGTAACCGACTGAATTGATTTACAGTGTTTTATTTATCTCTCATATTTGTGGTTATTCCGAATCATAAATTTACACAAAGTGAAGATACGTTCATTAATTTAAACTTCTTCCTCACAAATAAATGCCAACGTATTACTGTTCCATAATATTTGTAAATAAGTAGAGTGGGAAGATACGAAAAATATTTTTAACTTCACGATGCTTAAAGACATGTGCTAAAGGATGTTTCCTCATGCTAAACACACACTATCAGACATTTGATTTGTTGTATGTTTGTTGTTTTTAAACTTACGCCAATACAATATAATAAACATGGGACTTTCAGTTATACTGTACTTTCTTTATTGGGAGTTTTGTACTTTTTCACATCAAATTGATAGCAAAGTTTAATTAAATAATCTCAGTAGTAAATATAGTACTTTATTTTTATGAGAAATTATTTTTGCTATCTGCTATCAAAGTCTTTGTTACTTTCTTCCCTAAAGAAATTTAGAGAAATCATGTTGGCTGATGAATAGGATTTTTTTCAGGTAGATGCTGGTAAAATTGTTAGTATGCCTGTAAATCAACGGTTTTTAATTCAAGACAAAATTAAAAACCTAGATTTCTATGTCACTTTGTTGGACGCCAAGCAGAAGCCTGGAGCAGTAATGTTTCTGTTTGAGGGTAAGATAAAAAAGATTATTTCCTAACAATTATTTGAAAACATGCAGTGTATGCTGTTCAGGATCAACAACACAAGGGTTTAAAAAAATTTAATTGTTTTGTCTGGGTACATACTTCATATTTTTAATAATGATTTTTTATTACCAATAGACATTTTTGAAAAATTTATGTTTTTCAAAAATGTTTCATAAAACGTTTCATAATATTTTCTTATGAAACGTGAAACATAATAAAACAAAATGTAACAACAACTATAAATTATAATTTTTTTTTAAATAATCATTGTATTTTTTACTTTGCAATATTATGAAATGGTATTTTGGACATGCAAAGTAAGACTTTAAAAAGGCTCATTAGTAGTAATTTTATTTTTTTTAAGTACCTCTGTTGTTTAAAAAGGCTTATACTATATTCATTCAATACAGGGGCGAATATAAGGGGGGCCCAGGCACCCCCTCCCCAAAATAATGGATATGAAGAAAAATAAGTATTATAATATGACAATATAAAATAGGTTACGTACCTTTACGTCGTCAATCCTAGGTTAGTCTTTTTAGCGACTAGTTTCGAAACTGACGTTTCATTTTCAAGCCTTGTCAAACATAAAATTATAAAATAAGCCGAGTCGGTAGTTGAGTCGTGTTCGTCGTGCGTGTAATGGCCGGCCGCGCGTCTTTCTGTATATTAATGTATTTGTGCGTGTTAAATGTTATATTTGTGTACTTTGACGACGACATTATGTTCAAGTAATTTTATGTTTGACAAGGCTTGAAAATGAAACGTCAGTTTCGAAACTAGTCGCTAAAAAGACTAACCTAGGATTGACGACGTAAAGGTACGTAACCTATTTTATATTGTCTTAAATCAATCCTGGAGGCAATGCTGAATAAATTATAATATGAATTATTTATCATGAATCATGCACGAAGTCATCGCCGTTGCAGGCAGGAATAGTTTGGGTTGATTCGGACCGACTCAGGCTCTTGCCTGCCATCCGGCTATTTGCGCTAGCAGCAGTGACCGCTAGAGACCAGCAAATCTACCGGTGACAAGGGAGGGGAGTAATGAGAGAGAGAGAGATAATAAGAGTTCAGTCAGTTCACTAGTTCAGTAGTAGCCATTGTTATTTACATCTGTTTGACATATGTCGTAGGTACATCTGTGTATAGTCAATGGTTATGCTGAAATGTTAACGTGCAGTTCGCACTTGATCAGTATAATAAATTAATTTGTAATATTTATTGTTAGAGAATATGACAATCATAATCATGGTTTTGACTCTGTAGGTTCGGATAAGTATTAACATGGGATGACATACTGTTAAATCTCGACCAATGTTTAGATTTAGTAATTGAGGTATTTTCTTCCTATGGACATTAGATTAACAATAGATACATTTTTTGGATTTAATGGAATTGTATATTGATACAGCATGATCTTGGTAAAGTAAAAGTCACATTTAGCACAAATTACCATTGCAAAACTGAGATAAAGTATCATGGTGTGTCAACTTGAAATTACTTAACCTAGCCTTAAATTAATCTCCCCCCCCCCAAAAAAAAATGTCTATATTCGCCACTGATTCAATATGCAGTCTATTTCTAATAATGACAATTTTACTTGTGGTATTTTGTAGGCAAAGAGATAGGCAACATCCTGTACGCTGGCAAGTGTTGCTACAGCGACACCTTTTTTGGCAAACCTCTTATCAACTTTCTCAAAGTTAAGGTAACTATCAATACAATATTTAAAAATAACTTATTGATTAGCATTTTACCATAGGTTGGTGTCTTTACACAAATATGAATTCCCACACCTGGTTTGCTTGGTTAAAACGAAACAGTGTTGAGACTTGAGATAAAAACAATCTTATATCAGGACCGTTTTCACAAGAGAATTATTTTCAGTATGCCGCTTTATGCATAGTAAATTGGGTTTTTTTACTTCCACAGTTACTCACTAGTAGGTATAAATAGGTTGAACTCGGTTTATAAAGTTTTGTGCGTAAAACCCAAGTTACCTATAATAGCCGTGAGATATCATTACTGTCAGAACCCAACACCTATGTATTTTAAATTTTTGGTATGACACCTTCATAACTCGAACCTCGCTTACTCGAAAAACTCGATAATACACCCTTCAGGTTTGAGATATTGAGGTCCTACTGTACTTCCATTTATATGTTAATTTTGTCCTTGGTCTCTCCTACTGAAACATTAAACATATAGATTTCTTCTTCCTATTGTGTTATTTGGGCGGAAAAAGGATAAATATTGATTTCAATCATTAATAAGGATGTATATGATTTTAGATATATATTTACAGTTGTTTTAATGAGGCAATACTTTATCAGGTAGATATTTTATTACTTGTAAAGGAAGACAGCTTTGCATTAAATCAAAAGCAAATCTCAAAGTGAATCCTCTGAACCTAAAGAAGAAATGGTTCTGGGTCCTCTTTCAATTGGTTGAATCAACAATATAAACTTTTAATTCACATTTAGTATTCAAATTCAACTGTTTATGTAAGTTTTCCCTTTTAATATTGTTTGTTAAAAATCCACGTTTTAAGTTATAAGTAACCTTACCATTTTAACCATTATTAATAGGCACATGTCAATCAGAGTAGTGTATGAAAGTTTTGACCAAATGAGGTTGTTATTTAAAATCTTCATGAGTATTTCACAGTTTTTGTTTAGCCTACCTTGAGTGTTAGGTTACATTTTACCTTGGTTTAAGGGTTGTTAACAGGTTAATCACAATAATAAATTGCAAATCAATTATTTAACTAAGTTGTTTAATTACTATACTGTTTACAGTTTCACTGGAAAAAGCTCATACTAAATGTTCTATGAACGTAAGTTGGAATGAAAACTGATTTCCTTTGCATATTCTGTGTAATGAAAATTATACTTGGATTTAAACCTTAGAATCATTTTTATAAGATTCAGAATTATATTTTAATGTGAAATTCTTTGTCTTTTTCACTGCATCATTTTCGGTTTTTTTCAGTTGGTAGACTATCTTTATGTCCACGCGCCATACGAAGACCGTCAGTCTCATTCGAAGACAGTTTCTGAGGCTGTTGATGATATTGTGAATACTATAAGGTATAGGAATTACATTTAATAGATATTGGCATAGAAATTTAAATTTACATTTTTTATAAATTTAATTTTAATTCATTAATCAATGTACTTGGAGTCCTTGGAGCCTAGACGTTCTATCTCGTAAAACAATTAAAAAACTAGAAGTAAAATTTATAATCCCACAGTATACTAGATACTTAATTTAAAACAATCTGGTGTTTGAAAAAAATTTTTGAGATGGTGAATAATAACTCTTCAGCGGCTGTTTGAAATTGACATTGTGCTCTTATGGCGGGCAAATCCAAGATGGCCATTTAGCTTCCATGGACTCCTTTGGGAAACAACTCAAAACTACTAAGAACATTTCTAGTCTAAATTTAAGTATACTAGATATTTAAATTATAATCACTTTGGTGTTTGAAAAAAATATTTTTTGATGATAAATAACTCTTTACTTAGCTATTTGAAATCATTCAAGTTGGCCGCTAGCCTCCAAGGACTCTTAATTTTGAGTTCAAATAATACTTGTGATAGCAACACTGCTCTCCAAAACATCCTGATAACTCTTAGAATCAAATGTAAGTCGTTGAAGTCTTAAAATTTTCCCATGCCCAAAGATTAAATTATAATAATAGAATTGGTGAGTCGGTGGCTCATTCAATAGCATGGCAAACCTATCAAGCAATGTTGGAGCATCCCTCAATCCCAGTGCTGCCTCCAATATTTATGAGTAGTGTACTGGCTTATTGCCCTGCTTGTTACATCCAAAGCACACACCCAAGGTTCATGTGGACGGGTAAATGCAATGGTAATAAGAGGAAAAAAACTCTTAAATAACTAGCATTGTAGCGTACAACTAGCAGTTTGAAAATATGCAGGATGTTAAAGAACATTTGTTCAAAATCGTATAGCTCCAATGTGTACATAAGTGCTCTACTACATGTTACTATTTATTATTCTATTGTAATAAACTATTATCATGTTGTGCATTACCGAATTATTACATTTTAATTTTTTCCCTAATTTTAGGTGGAACTCAAACTGTAAAATCATCATAAGTGAACCCTTCTTCAGAGAAGATATATTAACAAGTTTGAAATTTAGGTTACGGGTAAGTTTTACTTATTGAATACAACTTAGAACAAAAACTCTCAATAATGAACTAAGTAAAATTTCTTTATAATGAAAATTTCTGTAGGGAGATGTCAATATTAAATTAGGAGGTTTTCATTTGATAATAATCCTATTGATTGTTTAACCTACAATTTCATTATTTTGACAATAAATAAATCATAGTACCTTAGATAGCGCCATATTTCAATCATAGAACCTTAGATTGCGCCATATTTCAATCAGAATAGTACCTTAGATCGCACCATATTTCAATCATAGTATCTTAGATCGCGCCATATTTCAATCATAGTATCAAATGTCCTTTTGTCATTCTTTACACCAATGTGAATTGCTTTCAACTACCTGTTTTTTGAGTATATTTAGCTAGATTTTACTCTATTATAATATTCTCTTTTCTCCCTAGAAACCGATCAGTGTGTCTGAGCCCATAATGAGACATTTAGAAGAGCTCGGGAAAGGTTCAGACTTTCAACTGGACCAGTCTACAGCACAGGTTTTAGTTACTCACAAATCCATCGGGAAGGTGTAAGTAGAATTAGTAACGCTATTGAACATTATTATTTACATTTATTTTTGTTTTATATAGTAATGGTGTGCGAAGCAGCAATAATTTTTCTATTTGATACAACAATTTGATTAGAAAAAATTTTTTTATCGATGAATTTTGATTTTAAAACTTAAGTATGTTTTGGTGTGAACAAATGAAAAACTTTATATTGTTTCAATGAAACTTTTAATTGGTTCACAAGAAGAGGATAGAAACAGATCTACAAACTATTAGACTAACTCTTTATTGACTAAGTTTACTCAAAAAGTTTTAGACAAGTTTAAAGAGTTGTTTTAAAAGTGTTTTGTATAAAAAAAATCATAAAGTCAAGACTTTGGGGTGTTTAAAGAGGGCTGGTATCAATTTAATTTAGTAGATCTATTTGTAGATTATAAGCAATTCATGCCCATCGAGAAAGGAATAACAGGAGGTATTCTCCAAAAAGGAACTCGTTTTAGTGAGGTAATGTAAAAGAACAAATACATTGATAATGCATCCCAGGATGTTGATGTGACTAACGATGACTCAGAATCTAATTATTTAATGTACTACTGTGATATAAATCACTTATATGACAACGCAATGTCTCAGCGTATGCCTTATAATAGGCCCCTTCCTGCATGAGTTGAACCGTTATTTTGATTAACATAGAATCAAATTGCGATTGTATGCATTTCAGATCATTATCTATGCATCGCACACCCCTAATTTGTAGGAAACACATTTTGATGAATTGCAAAATTATAAAAATGTTAGCTATTAATGTATACAAGCAAAGTAACCTATTAAGAGTACCTTTAGAATTACATTTTCTAGTGTCTACGTCAATGGAATTTTTTTAACAAACAAATCAAACCTGTACAGGCTCAATTATGAAAACTACTTCTTGTACCAAATATTTAGTACTCAACTGTGAACATAATTGATTTATTTGTCAAAGTTGACACCAGTATTGTTCTACACAGGACTCGTTTCAAGCAGCCAGTATTCAAGATCGTTATAGTTCCTTGTCCGATGAATCTCTCAAAAGAAGAGGTCGAGTTCAAGGTTTCCAGATTAGAGGCAAGGGGTTACTATGTGATATTCTATCGGAATCACTGCTCTCAACAGGAACTGGTCACTCTAACTCGGTGTATCAACGCAAAGCACACCGTACTCATTCGACCCACACCGCTGTTTATGCATCCTGCAGAGCAGCCTATGAACGTTACGTATTGGACTCGCCACGGTAGTATTTGTCAAATACTTGATTTTCTGGACAGTTTTGACAGACAAAAAACAAAAAAATCACCTCATAATGAAGTGAATATTCTAGAAAGGTCTTGTGTGGCAACAGACGTAAAGGCTCGGGAAGCAAAACCGCCAGAGGCATTCATCCTCATTGAGAGTGACCTAGAGTCAAATGCCTCTCGAGATGAACGGGTTACCTCTCAAAAGGCATAAGTTATTTTGTTATTTATATAGTTATACCTTAAGGAAGAAGGAATAGATACACAACTACTTACTCAAGAAAATAGTTCCAGGTAGATATTACACAAAACATTCACAAGCCTTCTTAAGCTTCTTTGTATGGGTAAATTATCAATTTAATCGTGTTCTAAACTTTTTGTGTACTTTCAACTGTCTTAAACTCTTGGGTATCATAGTTGTGTATCCAGCTCTTCTTCATAACTTATTTCTGAACTACTTTCCTCAAAAAATTAAAATAGAGTCACTTTGTTTTGTATAGTTTTGTGGAAAGGGGTAGAGATCAGCTAGTTCACCTAAGAAACTTGAGTATGGGCCTAAGAAATGCATTGAGGACAGTCACACAAAATAATACTATTAATTAGTCCTAGTACAGGAAGTAGATCTGCCATGGGCAAAACAAGAGACGGCAGGAAAGAAAAAAATAGCTGTTTTATGATGTAGGCATGTTTCTGAGAAAAATATGAGTAATTACACTAGATTTGTTGTGGAACATCATGTACAATAAACCCATCTATCCTGCATCCCCACCCTAGACGTCCTGTCAAACTTACTAGGGCACTCTTGTCTACTTTAATCTTTATGTTAATGGGAAAAATTGGTAATCCTCGGTGTTGTAAAATCTAGTCACTGATAGTATTGCATAATATAAATTTTTTGAGTTGTTGGCTGGCCCAAAGATCTACAATGATCTCCCCTTGGACCTAAAACAGCTGGGGGTCCTGGCTTTTAAAAGAAACTTAAAAAATGTATTAATATTGTAAAATAGCTGTATATATATTTAATATTTGTACTTTTATCACACAATGTCTTTTATTATAATAGTATTCTATTTTTAGTTAGTATTTGAGCTGAAATTATTCTGTAAAACAGTTAAATTGTACTAAGAGATGCTCTGAAATAAAAGCATTTTTGTTTATTTATTTATGTACTTACGTAATTGCATATGTATTTTTAGATTTAGGCCATCATGGGGCTTAAAGCTAGCGGCGACACTAGAACGCACAATCTTTGGTACTGATAAGACAATACTTCTCAGTGACTTAAACATGAAATGATCGGGCATACAACATTTTTGCTGTAACGATTTTGCCTGCTCCCAAAATATATACTGATTCACTATGAATTTAATCATTGCCTTGCAGCAAGGTGCAAAATAAAAGGAAACTATATTTTAGTTTTATTTCTGTGACTTTTGGGATCTTATAATGAAAATCCGTTACTTTCCGTGACCCCCTAGTAAAATCAGTGACCGGTAGATACCCTGTAACAGCTGGTTTCAAACTGTCATTAAAATATTAACGTTAAAAGTTGTTTACAAAAATATAGATCGTTGGTATTACACATTTAATTAATTTAATTTTTTCACCAGATGTAGTTGTTTTATCGTAAAGGATTTAGCGTTCTTTAAGTTATCTATAAGTTTTTTTATTTTCCCAAATGGCTGTCAGTAGAAACCAAAATCAATTTATACCCTACAATAATCATCCCAGTAACTCTGTAATGTTTAGAAACTTGGGCACTGACGAAGAAAAAACAATTTGGAAATCTGCCATGAATTTTGTCAAAATCTAACTTGATATGTAAACCAGTTGTATTGAATTGTACAGTTTTACAGTTTCAACTTACTACTTGAACCCTGTGCGAAGGTCAGGCCCCCAACTAGTTAATCCTATATATTAATAGGCAAGCACGTTTCTGGAAAACCTTTTTTCTCAGCTTGTGTGCATTGCAGGGAAAATCTACACTTAGGGTGACGAGCACCAAACAGGAGAAAGTCAAACTAATATAGTATATAACTAAAGTAGTAGGAAAATAGTGACTTCATTTGCTACATACACTATTTTAGTATTCTAACTTCAGGAGTGTTTTACGCCAGGAGTATTGTAGATTACTCTTCAGAGAAAATTTAAGGTTGGTGTGCACCAGTGTATAGTTGTGTACTAAACTAGTAAGTTAATGATAAATTTGTGCTAAAATATACTCCTACCCCCTAGTAGGTGTAAGTTATGGAGTATTTTGTTTTAAATAGGGTTAACCATGTATATTGTTTTCAGTAGATTATTTTTTTATGTTAACCATGGATTATGCTGAATAGGCCTACATAGACTATTTATTGAATGCACCAAATGCAGTACGGTTCGTGATAAGAGAGACCCTATTGAAATATTAATTACCTATTACTGTAATTTTTAATTAGTAAAACAAAAATAAACAAAAAAGTAGAAACTAATTTATACATGAAATACTTTTTTAAAATACCACGTTTTTAAACGCCCTAAAAAGTAGAAAATAATTTTAAATATATGGAGAGAATAAATAATACTTGTAAGATTTAAAACAAAAAACGTGGGGCGCATGTAATAGATAATAATAAAGAGGGGTAGCTGTCGATTTGAAACAAATAAATTAACACAGTACATCGTGTATGTATGATTTACATCTCTATTTCCTAATTGAGGTTAAAAATAGCTAATAATAATTCAATCTGTGAAGATAATCGTAAATTAGATATTGCATGTGCCCTACGTTTATCGTTTTAGACCTTACAAGGATTTATTCTCTCCGCATATTTATAAATTAATATTTAAATATTAATTTTATAATCAAATTTATAAAAATAAATATAAAAAAGATAAAATTAAATGAAAATGAAATAATTAAACAAATTAACTATTTGAACACGGAGGTTTTAACAATAAAAACCAATTTTCAACACAAAACTCTTGAAGCTTAATACTAATTTGCACTAAACACAAATAAATATTGCAGTATTTCTATATTTTGAGGTAATGTACTGCGTGGGACTGCACAACTAACAGAGTATTCACAGAAACTACAGAAGTTTTAACTAAAGAAGCATCCTGTACTTGAGCTCTCCAAACAAATCTCCAGTAGTAAAATACTTCTGTAGTTGAATACTTCTTGTGTTTTAACTACAGAAGTTTCACTTACTAATGTAGTATATTTTACTGATTTGGTGCTCGTCACCCTTAGAGAAAGGTATTTTCCTCTAGATGTGCAGAATCCCTGTATAAATCAAAATAACAAAAATAAAACGAAAATGAGTTTGTTTAAAATAAAAATAAAATTAACATGGCCTTATGGTTGCCATGCTGGTGACGAATAACAATGGAATATAAACAGAGAATCAAAGCAAATGGAATAAATTCCAATCACATGTTTTTTTTACTGCAGGGAATGGAAATAGAGAAGTCTGTACATTACATATTTTTGGTTGAGTTTTCGACCACTGGACGACCTCTAGTTTTAAATAAAAGCATATCCTAGCTAAGTCATTATTTAAGGGTTTAAATTTATATGTTTAAAATGTTAACTTATATTAAGTTAATTTTAGATTTTAGATACCCAGCAAAGCTGGTTTGGAATATTCAGAGACAATATTTATCACACAAAAAATTGTTAAAAATTTGTATTTCTTGAATATGAATAAAACTGTCTAAAATATGTCCCAAGTTAGGTGTTGTTATTTATATGCTACTAGCAGAGTACCCGTCCTTCGTACGGGGTTGGCATGTAAGTATAAAGTGACATTAGCGTATGGTTTGACAGCTCCATTTAAGTAATGTTAAATAATGTTTACATTCAGGATAGTGACATCATTATTTTAAATATGATCCTTACCCTCTCTGTTCTAATATTCATGCAGTATTTAAATGAATGTTTGAACCAGCTGTATGGAATTGTGAAATCCAAATTAATTTGACAGTTAGTACTGCTTGTTTACATTTTTAAACTTTGTAGGTTTGTTCTTTGTTGTCATGGATACCATCAATCAAAATTTACTTTGAAATCTCTCACCTCCGATTTTTGAAAGCCCACGGGGCATAGCCCTAGGACAATATTGAAGCGGGAATAGTTCTATATGTATCCTCGGAACTGTAGCTTCATGTGTGTGCAATTTGAGCCCAATAGGTTCAGTAGTTTTTGAGATTAGCTCATACAAACACACACACAGACACCACCTCTTCTTTATAATAGTATAGATAGATAGATAATCATGTATAATTTACAAAATATTTATAAATGTAAAAGTAGTTTGTAAAAACTTAGTTAATTTTGCAACTAAATGTGTATCATTACAAAAGACCTATCAGTGTACTTTCGGAGTTTCAAAGGTGCAATACTAAAGTTGTATATTGAATTGCACTCCAAAAAATATGTTACATGTTGTTATGTAGATTTATTAGTACTAGTGTACCTGTTGCTCAATTTCGAGCAATTTCTAAGTATTACAGGCGTTATTTTAAAACGAATAACAGTCATAATTTCTGATGACTTTCAAAAAGATTTCTGATCTGACTAAAAGATTATGGATTTACATAACAGATCGATATACTGTATTCAATATTTCTTGTAAATATCTTGTCATTTTTCAAAAGCTGGTCTTGTTTTCTAGTGTTTTCTACAAATATAGCCTTACTCATAGGCATTAGGTTGCCCATAATGATTATAAATTAAAAAAAAAACATTATTTCTATTTCTTCTCCTTGGCGGTGTTCTATGACTTTCCTATGTTTCCATAGTTTGCAAATCGGCTGTTTTAATGATTACTAAGAAATGCAGCACAGTATTAATTTAGTTTTTTTTAGTATATCAAATTATCCAGGTTCTCTCGCTTTTTTATTCCATTGTAATATTAACACCAACCCAAATTCAAATAGGCTAGTAGCCTAAATATTTCATTTTCCAAGTTAGAAAATGTTTGTAGCAAACTGTTAAATTAGTAAACTTATTTACTGTTTACAATTAACATGTGTTCTTCTTCTCAGTTTTAATGTCTGGCAACAGCTGGAGTTTCATAATAATGTTTGTTTCCCATGTTAATCTTATGGAGAAATACGAAACTTTAAAGGGCCTCAGGGCCTCACTCTCTAATTATTTCCCTAAAAAGAAAGTTTCCTGCACAACTTCACCTTACGTTCTTTCCAATGACACCAAAAACATGTCAATCGGTTCAGTAGTTTCGGAGGAGTAATTGTCACAAAAAACCTGCTTGCGTATTAAATAAGTACTAGTTGCTCTACCCGTGCTTCGCAACGGGGAAAAATCAGTTCCATAATCATTGAAATAAACTAAGTTTAAGATTAAATAAACCGACCACATAGTTGTGTAAAATATCTTATTCTATTTTTTGGATCAGCTGTCTGAAATAGGCATTTGACAGTTCTGGTTGTTTAGATTTAAATGTCAAAGCAAATGTAAACATTGTTCATTTTCTAATGCTTCCATGGAGACCATTTATTGTTATTTTCTGACAACAGCTTGAGTTTCATAATGATGTTTGTTTCCCATGTTAATCTTATCGAGAAATACGAACCTTTAAAGGGCCCCAGGGCCTCACTCTCAAATTATTTCCCTAAAAAGAAAGTTTCCTGCACAACTTCACGTTACGCTCTTTCCAATGACACCAAAAACATGTCAATCGGTTCAGTGGTTTCGGAGGAGTAATTGTCACAAAAAATCTGCTTGCGTATTAAATAAGTATAGATAGATAGATATATAGATTTGTATAATATGTGAAATGTACAATTTTTAAGAGGAATTAAATCATTTTTCTCCCAACTGCAAACCCAGTTATTTTATTATGCACATGCTGTTTGTGGTCACAACATACGGTAGATTTTCAACGCTTTTGTTTCTACAGTACTTTTATTTTTTAAATGCTTTCTTTGTGTAACCTATTTTATAGGTAAATTGTTGCTTTCGTGTTATGCTTAATACATAGTATGAGGCAATTTCAATACATTTAAATATAAAATGATTTATTGACATGTGTTTTGGAGATTGTATTTGAAATTCTTATCTTCTCAAAATCTATTTTTAATCCATCAAAATGGAGGAACACAATGGAACACACAGGACCCAAAACTAATAAAAGGAAAAAAGGTTGTTCGATGTACTCGCTAGCAGAATATCTTCATCATTTGCCACCCACAGAGTTCAGACTAGTCCATAAGACCAAAGCTAGCTAGAGTGGAATACAAAGTAAACCTATGGAACCCTTTCTGTTAAGTGACGTTTTGGATTATCATCACTCCATTGTAGTCGAGTAAAATCAAGCAAATATTTTGTAATCAACATAAAACAAGGAAAAACAGACAGTTCAATTAGTTTATTAAATGTGTTATCACATGATAAACTCTAACAAATACATTCTATAAAAAAAAAAAAAAATTGGCACTGGAAACTGTACTAGATGTTTCTACAGTATAAACAAATTCCAAAAAAATGTGTGAACAGACATAACTTTTTAGTTTTTATATACAATCGATATAGCAAATCACTCATTGGCTTGAAATTCTTCTAGTGAGGCAGTCAAGAAAAACAAAACAATGTTTTCAATTTGACTCCTAATTTCATTTTGAAATTTTATTGTAATTATCTTTTTGTGTTACTCTTTTGGAACTCTGATATTAGTTTAACCTAATAACTAATTATCGTCCAAAAAAATAAATGTTTTGCAAACAAAAACAAATTGAGAGGGATATAAAAATAGTAATCTGGTATATAAATATAAACAATATAATGCAGATTCAAGTTATACACACTACTTTCACAACCAAGTTGAACATAAAAAATCTTACATTTTATATATTAGCAAGCTTATAATATTTATATAGGTGGGAATCTACGGTTACTACTATTAGGCCTATTAACAAATAATAGCTTACAGCTAAATGTAATACTTTGATCACAGCCAAATTGTACTTAAAATAAATAAAATACTAGACAAATACGCTATGTAATTGTAATGTATAATATAAATATTATGAAACCATTACCTTTGAACACTGCAAGTAAACTTAATAATGACAATCTGAAGCCTAGTTTGTTTCCTATCACAAGAAGTGAGTTGATGATGAATAAAAATGTCTGTCTTATTTTAAGGTAAACCATACAATGTTTTTTTGTTATAAGTATAACACTAGTAGGCTGCCAGAAGTTTACTTATAGATTATCACATTTTGTTGTATTAACTTTTAAGTAAAATAACATGATAAATCAAAGAGATATCAAGGTACTATATCACCAATTACCAGACAAAACATGCATTAAAGCTTGTAGGTGATCTATAAGGGAGTATATAGGTAATCTACGAGATCAATTTATAAATAGTTTAGTATATTGTATTGGACTTAAGACCATGTAGTCTGAACATCTTACCATAATTAGTGTGAATGGCCCAAAGAAAAAGCCAAAACTTTTAAACCAAAATTAAAAGTACTCATGATTTTAAATATTTTTATTAACATGACACAATTTGGATAAAATGCTTTGGACCAAAATCCAGCACTAATCACAAGACTATGACCTATTTTACCCTTGTAATTTGCTTAGATGAAAATTGTTTAAAGAAATTTAAAAAAACTTACGCATTCTTACATAGTGTATTGTCAAAGAGAGAGAGAGAGAGTGTACTAAACATGATTTTCCCTTGAATATAAATCAGCCATACAGATATACATCAAATGATAAAATGCTTGAGATCATTTTATGTAATTATAAAATCAAGGGTGTAACATAGGGCACAAGGGACTAGGTTTTTATGATTTCTTTTAGGATACTAGGCTTACCTGATTGGTGAAGAAGCCAAACTGAAACAAGATAGAGTAAAGTTTTGTGACCCTACTTATCTTGTGCCAGTTTGAACTCTTCACCAATGGGTAGGGGTGAAAACATATCGGAGCGGCGAGGCTAGATTGTAGCGGAGAGCGTAGCTGAGAGTTTTTGTACCCCGGTAGCAGAGCTGCACATGCACATAGTGGAGCGGCGGCGGTAGCGAGTCAAGAGGCTGAAGTACAGTAATTATGAATATGCTTTTAAAAAAAAACTGATTCATCTATCATGAGGGTAAAATGTACTGATTTTGTAAATAAATGAATTAATGGTGAAAATAGTAAAACACAGCACTGTATCCATTCATTGAACTAACTTACCTACATATTTAAAATAATAAAAATTGTGTTACCTTATATATTTATAGAAACTTCTAATCATTGTTTAAAAAAGTTAAAAAATCTGTTTAACAGGATAAATTGTATATTAAATAGGTCACTTAATGGGAAAAATGTACCTTTTGACAAGACCTTCTTGACCTACCTTCTACCGGCGCCGTAAGTGTCGGATGTCTATTACGCGTTTTTCGTATTTTTTGTTTTGGCCAATTTATGTTTTAATGTTTTCGTGTACGTGTATGTGTTATTTTTGTGAACTTTAAACCTTTTGACGACCATTCCATGGATTAAATCAATGTACGTTTGACCTAAAGATGTGTTTTTACAACACTAAACGGCTGTAGTCAACTAACTACAAACCAGGATCACTTGACGGATACAGGTAATTTAAACCTTTTATAGTAAAGAAATTGACATAGAATTTTGGAGTGAAGAGACTAGCGTGTTGGCACGGGTACCCGTTCCACTATGTTTTGGCGCACCTACATGTATGATCTAGCTACGCTCTCTGCTACACTCTAGCCTTGCTGCTGCACTATGTTTTCTTTCACCCTAAGCCTGTTATCCTCACAAAAATCTTAACTATGAAACCAGTGAGCATATTATTTGTTTTTTTTACTGGTAGAAGTATTGTAGAACATTTTACATTTGTTATATTGATCAGAGAAATACCACAAAACTATGAGTTGCTTGGTAGCATATCAACTAAAACTGTTTTGACAGACTTGAGTAGCTAAGCGGTTAAAATTATGAAAAATCTAGGTAACTGGTTTAAACAAAAGATAATTAGTTCTGGACCTCGTAGCTATGCTTCATTGGAATTTCGATGATGTTTTTCAACAACATATTGAAGAGTGTTGCACAAAGTCGAACAATAAAGTATAATTTTTGAACTTTCTCACGACGTCTAATATAAACTATTCGACTGATGCATGACGTCCAAATCTCATAATGTCCTAAAGTACGGTAACTGCAAGAAACATCTTTCTACAAGATTTGGACTTCATGGTATTGGTCGTCGTGCAACAACAAACTTACTATAAAAAACTTAGCAGTAGCATCACGTCCAAAAAAGCCTCTGCCAGTTGCACAATGTTCAATAGCTCAGCGCTGATGTACAACGTACAGAGCTCCTGCATACGGAACAAGGTTAAATTAGTTAAGATTAGTAAAATCAGTAAAACAGTACTCACAGTGTGCAGGCGCTATGGACGTTGTGCAACTGGCAGCGGCTATGGATGTGGTGCAACTGCTACTTTTTTAAGAGTTTAAAGTGCGCTGTTTCACAACGAGTCGTTGTGAAGATTGGTTGTTTAACGACCAATCTCATAACATCCAGAGCTTGTAGAAAGACTATGTTTATATAATAGGTTACGTACCTTGGCCTGTCTTCAGTCTTATTTTAGTCTATGGATGACTAGTTTCGGGTACAAAGACCTATTATCAAATCCTATTCAAAACATCGTGTAGAAGCTGGTCAAAAATCCGACGGAAGTCTTCATCATCTATATAAATAAAATTAGAGTTTTGTCTGTACATTGCTTAGAATAATGAACTTTTTGGTTATTTTTACATTTCATAGGTCAGAGAAACCGAATCAAACCTTATCTCAATTTCTGTCTGTCTGTCTGTCTGTCTGTCTGTCTGTCTATCTGTCATTCTCTTGGTAACGCTAAAATACGCACTTTATTACAACTACTCCTCAATAACTATAGCACTGTCCCGCCTGAAACTTATTTTCCAAATACTATACATATATGAGATGGTTTTAGACGTATTTCATCGAATATGAGACAGTTAGATATTTAACAGTAAACCCTTGAAAATCAAGTTTTTGTCGATTTTTGACGTGGAATTTCTGGAAGCCCATGTTAACCTTATGAGAAATGAAATTATTGAATCTTAACAGCTGTTTCAATTAAACAAGTTGGTTCTGTTCTGTGATGTTCAATAGCATTAAAGTTACAAGGATTACCAACAGGGTGCAGCACTAGCACTATTATTTCTTTTACATTTATGACAACAGCTAATTTGCAACCTGGAGGCGAGTGAGCGTAGCGAACGAGCTAACCTGAAGGCAAGTGAGCGTAGCGAACGAGCTAACCTGAAGGAAAGTGAGCGCAGCGAACGAGCTCCAACATACAGGTGAGTGAGCGTAGCGAACGAACTTCAACCAGGACGTGATTGAGCCATGCAAACGAGATCAGATAGTAAAAATAAAAGTAAGCCTACCGTTATAGGATCGACCGGCAGACACAGAGGTAATTTAACCTTTTATTGATTGTCATACCGATCCGGAACAACAAAAAACAACATAAAATGAAGCTATGTATAATAGTTTGGCCAGCATATCTTAAAATATGCAAACCAACTGCTGTTCTTTATATAAGAAGGTTTCAACTGAATATTATAAGATCCCCGTGCGTAGAACGGGTACACAGCTAGTTATATAAATACAAGTTAACACATAAGGTTTATTATTTAAAACACAAATTACAAAACATATAAGATGATAGGCTGTCGTGTCCGCCGTATAACCTGTGTCGGTTTGTCCCGTGTTAAATGTGGCCGGCCTACCATCTTACATGTTTCGTAATTTTTAAAAAAATAATAAACTTTATGTGTTAACTTGTATTTAAATAATGATGAAGACTTCCGTCGGATTTTTTACCAGCTTCTACACAATGTTTTAAATAGGATTTGATAATGGGTCTTTGTACCCGAAACTAGTCATCCATAGACTAAAATAAGACTGAAGACGGACCAAGGTACGTAACCTATTATATATTCGAATATCAGTCTTGGTGGCAAAGATGTTTAGACTATGTTTATTGCAGTTACTGTACTTTAAAACATGATGAGATTTGGACGTCGAGAAACAGTCTAATATTTTAAATAGGACGTCATGAGATAGCTCAAGAATTATATTTTGGACGTTGTGACACTGACTTATATCATTGGATGTCTTGACACTTGGACGTCGTGCAATACATCCTTATGAAACAATAAAACCATACCAGAATATGAAACTTTCCTTCATAAAAAAAAACAATGAAAACACCACAAAAACACACTTACATTAAAAATATGGACTAATAATTTTCAGATTGATCCAACAGCTAAACGATTTTTTTTACTTTAATCAACTACAGTCAAAACTACCCTAGACATATTATCGAATGACTAGAATTATATCTGAGAGATGTAGTGTATATAAATACAAAATTTTGAACACAGCATTTGTTCGATTTCTAGAGAAAGAAATTTAAAAACAGGTACATTTTTTTAGCAAATCTGTAAAATAATATGTAAATTAAGTCATTGCCTAGTTGTATACAAATACTTGTCAAGAACAAAATCACTCCTTTAGAACACTTGATTTATAAAAAAAGTAAAAATATGAATTTAAAATAAGAATAGCATTGAGACAAATTTTATTTGTTTTACTCACATGCAATATTATTACTTCATACCTTACACTAGCCAACAATAATCATTAAATATTCCCCCAGTTGTTTTTTCCAATTAAGCAAGAGTAACGAAGAATAAAGTAGTACAGAAAAAGTATACTTCAATCTGACTTAAATACATTTAAATAGGAGTGTCTAAGACCTGGTAAAAAAATTTTAGTTAAAAACATTAGTTATTTGTGCAACGAGTGGCACTTCAATCTTCAAACATCCCACAGAAACTCATTTAACACTTCAAGACATAACCAACTCTTAGAACCAATCCCATAGTTGTTGCGCTTAAATAATAAATACATAGGAAACATTCAATGGTACACTTAAAATGGTGTCCATGAAAAGTCCAACACTGCTCCACTCGCCCTCATGTAGGCCTACTACAATGCTCACAGTAGAGGTAGACCCTATGCCCTGAGCGAAAGGAATTTCTGCACATTCTTGTTCGTCACAAGTATATCTCTGGCAAACACACCAGAGCTGAAAACGCACAGTCATCCCATAAGCAAGTTTCCTCTGTACCTTACTTCGCTGTGGCTTATATCAAAACTACTAACCACTTGGACAGCTTCACATCTACAGGTATATTTGAAAGTTAGGAATCTATCCTCGAAAATGATACTTGTTCCAATAAATTAGTCGATTCAGCAGCCGAGAGTCTGGTAGCCAGGTACAGTAATGTAGCCAGTCTTAAACACTGTTTTGTCTGCCGCAGTATTAAAGTTGAGCGCTAAGAGTTTCTCAGCTGCGAGGGGGTGCCAAACACCAAAAGTACATGACGCATCCTCATCGTCATCGAAGTAGTGGCAACGTTTGGTCAATCGCATAGAAGGCACATACTCAAATAGATTTACATAGGCGCAATGGGGTAGCAGCAGTGCCAAACCTGTAAAATGTAAATGAGTATTGCAAGTTATCTAGTTTTCATCTATCTATACTATTATAAAATTGAGGTGGTGTATGTCTGGGCAGCTGTCACGACTAAAATACTAAACCGATACAGCCAAAATTAAGCACAAAACTATTATTTGAGTACAAAATTCTCATCTCTCCAGCAGGTGGTTTGGATCAGCGGAACTCTGGTGTATTTAATTTATTACATATTACATTTTTTTTCTCTACTTTCACCAATCCGTAAAACCTTCTTAAAGGTTTTAGAATTACATTGATACAGTTAAAAATTACTTACCTAAGAAGCCGGATGAAGGAGGATTCCGGCGAATCCGAGCCGGAGTTCTAGCCTGCAGGAAGTCCCAGAGATGCCACAAATCCCGAGGGTCGACCAAGTACAAGGGAGTGTCGGGATACAGGTGGCGATGGTGTAGATATGGTGTGAACACGTCAAAGTCCGGCTTTCGTCTCCACTGGACACCAACAAGAATATAGGTTACAGTAGTCATTTGGTACAGTTACGATATCGATTACAGTACTCATTAACTGATTGAAATTCGTGCACTGTTTTTCTACTAAGTAATCGATTGAGAATAATAATTGAAAATATTAAACATGAATTTTAAAATAGACAATGAATGATACCTTAATATTGAAAATCATACTAAATCTCCAGTCTTTACAATGATTGAAGTGGTTACGGTGACAGCCAATGAATTAGAGGGTTTGTATGTTTTAAAAAGTTTTTGCAGTAGCTTTTTGATTAGTTAACTAACTAAACTAAACATGGTTAAAATATCAGGTGATAAATATTGGCAATATTAGAGCCTCAAGATGAATTTAGGCCTACAAGTAAAATACATAGTTATATTTACTGGTTTTTTTTTAGTTTATTTTAACTAGTGTAGCGGACCGCTACAATAGCGCAAGTCACGTGACCACGATGCGCGCGCAGTCGACCCGGGTAGGCACGCGCAGCGAACCAAGAGACGAGTACAGTGTAGTGTCGAGCGCCTGGAGCTGTACATCTGATCGGATAAGTAGACTGTAGCCTAAGATGTCTAGCTAATAGAAGTAGGGGTTGGGGAAAGGGTGTAGGTTGGGGCAAAAGGTAATTCAATCATGTAGTTTATTAGGTTCTCGAAGGGTCGTGGTCTGGCAATTAATATCGTAAATTAGAATTCACATTTGCTAAGTCTAGTAACCTTTTTCACGAATTAGAATAAGTCCATATATATATATTTCTCTGTTCATTATATTATAATTAGATACATTAAGAACATAAAAGCTGGCTGTGATAGGCAGCTAAGGTAATATTGTGCACTTTGACGAGTTAGATTAATTCGTTGCAATTGAGTTAGGTTACGACAGGAAATGTGCGTGATTTGGCAGTGGTTAGAGGAAGATATATAGGGCCCAGGTATCTTCATTCACACTCATACTACACCATATCACCACATAGTGGTAGCAGAGCGTCAAGATCCGGCCAAAAATGCAATTTTAACAGAAATAGAATAGATTAAAACGTGTCTCAGACCAGCCAGGTGCTTTGTTCAGACAGGAAATCGACAGGTTACAGGTCGGCACCACGTGGCGGCCTGGAACGCACGAGCATGCATAGCTAGGCACGTCATGAAATGTGAATCAATATCATTCAATTTATTTTATTTCCAAGGAAAATTTAAAAATCAATTTTGATGAGAATGTTTTAATTTCAAAGTAGAATTAGGAGAACCTTGATGTTTTTTATTAATATTTTACCAAACCAAGTTGATAAATATGTTTAAATGCATTTATGTAATCACTCACGAGTTCGACATCAAGTCTGAAAGGCAGTAATTAAATTAAATATACCTCGACGACAAGCCGAATGAGTGTTTGATGAATATTTTTATTAAGGAAAGCAAAATATTAGGAGTCAAAGTGCACATCAGTATAGTTTACAGGCCACGACCAAAAAAATCAAAATTCAAAATTGGGGGGAATTTTAAATTCATTTGTATGTCACCTCCCCAACCCCAAAAAGTCATAAATATCCCCAAAAATTTTTATTTCATAATTTTTACAGCCGAAAGGGTACTGCAGTGAATTAATTAATGATTAAAATAGTATTTTAAAGCGTAGTCTGACATATTTTAGTTGTAACTCATCACCTTAATTTAAGTTGTGTTTAGAATTTAAGTTGTTCAGCAAAGTTTTGATATTTGAGGTGGGCTAGTGAAAGTTGAGAGTCCATGTCATTAATAGGCCAGACAGACTTAGAACAGAACTGGAATGTTAGATAACAGAAGTTCAAAGATAAAGCGACGATTTAAGGCCAGATTTGTTATTTCCAAGCAAACATACACGATTTAAATATACATTACACACAGTTATTACAGGCTCATCTTAAACAAAAATACAAATAAATATATAAAATAAATATAAAAACAGAAAAACATTTAAAACGTAAAAAAAAATATATAATAATAATAAATGTAAAAAAAAATGTACTACATAATCAAAAGTAAGCCAAGAGCCTGTTTACAACATTTGCTTGAGTAAATCGTCACTTCGCAACATTTCAGTCAATTTAGGCCGTTAATTGACAGTGTTGATTCCTTCTGAATCGAGCCAAAACCACAGAGTCAATTCATTGTTCACATTAACAAATTATTATCTTACATAAAATTTCATGTAATTTAGTACAACAATAACACAACAATCAGTACAGCAATAGATGTCAGACATAAAATGCATTACAGTTTTATATTTTACAGTTCACAAAGTTTCATTCACTCGCAGCGACCTTGAACATGCAGGCCCGACACTACAACCAAACAAAAGAATTCCGACATACCGACATGCCATTACCCTGCTACACTCTTTCGACCACCTTGATACCGTAATATGATACAAATTCAAATACTCGGCGATTCACTGACTAAACGTCTGGAATATTTTGTTAACCGAGAAGGTAGTAAATTAAAATTAGAATACAGTATGGGAATTTCAGGCGCAACAATTGGACAATTAAAGAAACAAATCAAAATCACAAATCCATATTTCAACAGTGAAATACCATTATTGTTATGGATAGGAACCAATGACATATTCAGCAATACATCAATAACAATGATGACACAGCAATATGTATCATTGCTCAGGGTAATCAGGAAGCGTTATCTAGGCACCAGGTTGATACTGTTAGGATTACCATATTTCCCTAGGTCAGAATATACACCACACACAATAGATAAAATTACTCAATTCAACACATTTTTACACACATTGTCAAATCAAAATACCCAACCAATTTTTCTAACACATGTATTAAATTCAAATACATATTATTTACACACATATAGGCATTCAAATCGTAGGGATGACATACATTTGAACAATATAGGGAATCAGATCTTAGTCAAACATTTGACACACCAATTACAGTAAAATACAATCATTAGGCAAAATTCACACCTTTTTTAAATAATTTCTCTCTTTTTCTTGTTAAATTACAATTTGCCCAGCCCAAACTCTTCCCACCTGTTTGATAAAATAGTTGATATTAAAGAAGTTGTTAGGTATTGAATTTTTTTTACTATTCAAATAATAGTAGATCAAGGCAAGATGTCCAAGATTTACGAGTGGGAAACAAAACCCACAGGGGTATCATGGATACGAGATTTTGATGCGCAAAGCGCAATTCTACAGTGCGAGAAGTGGGGCTTAACCCCAGCCAAGACACTGGAAGAAAATAGGGTCATTTTAAAGAACGCGGTGACAGCGCAAGTGCCAACGGTACCAGACACACCAAAACCCACGGAACAAAACACACCCATCTTAGCGGATCAGACGGCGGAAATGATTAGAATCACAGCCCAAGCCATAGGCGATTCAATCGCTCAAGCTTTATCTCAAAACAAACCAGTAACACAATCAACACACACCCACACAAACCCGAGATTAGTCGACGATCTAGCGTCGAAAGCTCCCAACTGCGACGGCACGGACACAAGCAAATTGTTAGCCTTCTTGAAAACGGCCATTCAAATTGAGAAATTAAAGTTAGCCGACGACAAATCAATCACGATAGCATTGTTACACAAAACAGCAGGGCAATTAAGGGATATTTGGACCATGGCATTACAGGAGAACTGGGAGGTCAAGGGTAAAACAATTCCTACTATAATTAGTACCTTTCTCCCAGAAAGGGCAAAGCAACAGCTCCTGACTCAAACAGTTTATAGGGTACAGGGTCAATTCGAGTCACTTTCAGATTTCATTATCCAGGTGAAAGAGTCAGCAGAAATCCTAATACCAACAGAATACGACTTACTGGAGGTAATATTGACAGGTATAAACGCGACAAATAGGGCACGTCTTGCAGGGTTTCCGCCGCCGACCAAACTTGATGATTTAATAGCGCTTATCCCAAAATTAGAAGTTGTGAGACAGTTAGAGGAGGGTAGCAACTCGCAATCACGCCGATGGGAAACCAGAGCAGAAAATAATAGGCAATTTACACCTCAAAACAGGCAATTCGCACCTCAAAATAGGCAATTCACACCTCAAAACAGGCAATTCACATCTCAAAATAGGCAATTTACACCTCAACATAGGCAATACACACCACAATACATGCAACAGCCACATGGGCAACCAAGATTCCCACATCGACCACACACGCAGCCAAATACATACTACAGGGCACCAGTGCACAGCAGTGCATATCACGGCGCACCGAGGCAGGTCAATGACCCCAGACACTACCGCCCGCCCACCAACCCTACAGACCAACACACACCTACACACAATACACAGTTAAACTCCAGAGGAGGCCGATAATTGGCGCTCTCGCACCTCCGACACGTCATAGCGCCTATTCACACACAACAATCAACCAAAACACACACACACATAGCCATAAAAACAAAAATGCTCCAAACTTTCCTAAATTAAAAACATGTACAGTACCAATTTTTTTCGGCGACATTGAAACAAATGCACTCATAGATACAGGGTCTACGACGTCAATTTGCTCACGATCCCTTTTTGATAGAATCAAAAATAATCACTTAATTACAAAATCAATCACTCCGATCAATCAATTTGCTGTTTCAGCCTCAGGCGACAAGGTAATGTTCTCGCACATGGCAAAGCTACACTTTAAAATTAGACACTTCTCTTGGACATTCAGTTTCCTAATAGCACCTAAATTACCAATAAACATTGTATTAGGGTTAGATTTCCTCACAAAAACAAAAGCAATCATCGACGTGGCGAATCACAATGTAACATTTCCATACGGTACAAGACCGGTCATGGCCATATTACACACAGACCAACACGATAGTAATCTACAGGAAGACAAAACTTACACCTTGGGCGATAATTTGACACCAAACCAGATACAACAAATACACAAATTATTACAGTCATTTCCAAACACAGTATCGAAACGATTAGGGCAAACAAAATTGATACACTACGA